TTGAAGAATCTTTTTTTTTTTTTTTAATATATTTTATCGATTTTTTACAGAGAAGAAGGGATAGGGACAGAGAATTAGAAACATCGACGAGAGAGAAACATGGATCAGCTGCCTCCTGCACACCCACTACTGGGGATGTGCCTGCAACCAAGGTATATGCCCTAGACCGGAATCAAACCTGGGACTTCTCAGTCTGCAGGCCAATGCTCTATCCACTGAGCCAAACCAGTTAGGGCTTGAAGAATCTTTTGTTAAAATTCTTTAGTGTTGTTGAAACCAGTTTGGCTCAGTGGATAGAGTGTCAGCCTGCAGACTGAAAGGTTACAGGTCCAATTCTGGTCAAGGGCAAGTACCTTGGTTGCGGTTGCATCCCCAGTAGGAGGTGTGCAAGAGGCAGCTGATCGATTTTTCTCTCTCAACGATGTTTCTAGCTTTCTATCCCTTGGTCTTCCCCTCTGTAAAAACTCAATAAAATATATTTTTAAAACATATTTATTGTTTAAAGTATTATAGTATTATATATGTCTCCTTTTCCCCCACTGACCTCTCCCCCAGCCACCTCCAACCCCATCACATGCCTTCACCCTCCGAATGTCTGTGTCCATTGGTTATGCTTATATACATGCATTTAAGTCATTTGGTTGACCTCTTAACCCTCACCCCTCCCCTTCCTGTGTCTTCCCTCTGAAATTTAATGGTCTGTTCGATCCTTCTGTCTCTGGACCTATTTTTGTTAATCAGTTCATGTTCGTTATTTTCCACAAATAAGTGAGATCATGTGATATGTCTCTTTCTCTGACTGGCTTATTTCCTTAGCATAATATTCATCATGTACACTCATGCTATTGCAAATGGTAAAAGTTATTTCTTTTTTTATAGCAGCATAGTATTCTGTTGTGTCGATGTACTACAGCTTTTTAAGCCACTTATTTGAAGAATCTTTTTTTTCCCCCCCTCAATTTCAGAATGGGTTTTTCCATCCACAAAATAGACTGGGATTCTTGTTGTGGGAAAGAGAGGAGGAAGCAGGAAGATCATTTCATATGTTGAAAGTGTCTGAGACAGGTCCTTTATCCTTGGGTTAGACAGATTGGTAGAGAGTGTAAGGAAAAAGAAGATAAGTTTGGATCCAAGAAAGGAAGATTTTGTTCACACTCTGACATGGAATTTTGGGAAGTAGAAAACTTATAAACATTCTTTATGCTATACTGTCAAGGAGTGTAGAGTGGAAATTGTTAGGTTTTGCATGACTTCAGAGTCATGGAAGACAGCTGAACCTTCTTTATACACATGAGAAAAGGGCCTGGAAGTCAGGAGAAAGAAAGTGAGACAAACCATATGGCCAGGGACGAAATATATTCACAGAAATCTCAGCACATGCCAGCACGGAGGGATAACTGTGCCCAAGAACTTGATAGTCCAAAGAAGATGTCAATATGTGATAAGCATGCCCACGTTTCAGCATCTCCTTTCTGGTGATATATGACTTCTGTGGAAGTCCTTAGAACTTAAATGCAATCTCAGCAAGATTGGAGTGGGAATGGGATAAGAGGGATATATTCTGAACTGATTGAAATTGACCAAGAGGATATAAGTTTACTTTGAATGAAAAAACATATATATGTACACACATATATAATATATAGAATATGTAATATATGATATGTATAAAATACATACATATATCACGGATGATAAATTTGATATATATTATTTATATTGTCTAATACATAAAATTACTATAATAATATATTATTTATATAAAATATAAATTATATATACCATATATATATTTTTTGCTTAAGACAAAGCAAAGGCTAAAAATGAGGACTGAGTTAAAATATTTGAAGAAATTATTTCTCATACATTTGAGTATGTAACTTGAAGCAATACACCTATTAGCTATAGATATAAAATAGACAGATATCCATATAAATAGCAAGATCTACCAAACCGTACACTGTCACAATTTGTTATTCAAAACTATACAATAACATTGGCATACAAGGTGAAACTGATACACAGGAGAAAGCTTTCAACTAGTTAAAAATCTGATTTTTTTTTTTTTTAATCTCCAGTCACTAACTAGCCTTGATTTTCCTTCTATAGAGTTTACCCTCTTCTTCATGGGAAGAAATGTTGATGTCTATGTCCATTTTTTCCCATGTTTCTACTGGTCAATAAATGTCAGCCACAAAGTAAAAAAGTTTTTTGGAGAGTACCTGATCATGCCCATAAACTTAAAAATCTGAAGTATACAGCCTTATACTACATGACAATCTTCATCCTATGTATTTCATAATTACTCCACTAACACTAAGTAAGAAGTAAAGACTGAAATGTGAAGATCAGAATTATCATTTGGGATGAGGTTTCAGCATTTGATGTCCAAAGAGAAGCTCAAGAAAAGTACAGTAGTCCTCCTTATCTGCAGAGGATATTTCCTATACTGCCAGTGGATCCCTGGAACTTCAGATGGTACCCAAACCTATACACACTGTTTTCTTCCCATGCACACGTATCTTTTCACTTATGCTTCTCTTTGGCATATCTGAATCACCAACATCACTTACTCTTGCACCTTGGGGGCATTAGTAAGTAAAATACGGGCTACTTGAACATAAATACTGAGCTGCCATGACAGTCAGTCTAATAACAGACAAGGCTACTAAGAAACTAATTTCCAAGCATCATATTTAGCATGGATATGCTGGACAAAGGATGATTCACACCCATGTAAGACGGCATGATCTTTCTTCACTACAACAGCACTTTAAAACTTATGAATTGGTTATTTCTGGAAATTTTGTTTAATATTTTCAGACCAGTTAATCATGGGTAACTGAAACCATAGAAAGCAACCCCATGGATAAAAGGGACTGTTGTATATACTAAGATTAATGATGGTGTGCTCTCTGAATTGGGGGCTAAGGGCTATTTCTGAGCCCCCTGTAACACTGGCCTCTCCAGTGTAGGAATAAAGTAAGCATTAGATTTAACCAAAGTTAACCATTATTTGATTCTCCCGCCTCTACAGGGAATGTATAGATCACAAAGCAGTATTAAGAGGATATTAAAGAGGTTCTGAAAGTGTTATGGCTGCAACACAGCACAAAGCTTGGGACAGCTTTTTAACAAATGCAATCTCTCTCCCTTCCTCTCTCTTTCCCTCATACTTCTGAGGTGTTGTCTGTGCATAAGAAGTAAATACAAACAGTGATAACAAGTCTTCTGTGCATTATGTAGAATAGAATGAAACCCTTACTAATAGATGAGTCATAGTCTCACAAGGCTACACAGATTCAACTCATAGCAACCCTGGTCCCAGCCACTCCTAACTCTGGCTACGTAAGGGCTACTGCTGAATAAGCCTCACTATGGTTAAGACAACAGAAACTTGTGAAATTACTCAGAGAAAAATATATCCTATGTCATCTTAATTATCCTTAATTTATTCAGATAATGAAATGATATAAGAGCCGTAAACCAAGCCCAGCCAATGTGGCTTAGTGGTTGAGTGTAACCTATGAACCAGGAGGTCACAGTTCCATTTCCTGTCAGGGCACATGCCCGCCCACGTTTCGGGCTCGCTCCCAGTGTGAGGTGCACAGGAGGCAGCCAATCAATGATTCTCTTTCATTATTGATGTTTCTATCTCTCTCTCCCACTTATGTCCTCTCTGAAATCAATAAAAATATATTAAAAAAGAGAACGGTAGGGCAAGAAAGAAATAAAAGATGCAAGTATTAGAAAAGAAGGGGCTATCTTCATTTACATATAAATCTTGTGTGAATCTAAAATTAGAGGTCTGCTGAAACCGGTTTGGCTCAACAGATAGAGAGTCGGCCTGCAGACTGAAAGGTCCTGGGTTCGATTCCGGTCAAGGGCATGTACCTGAGTTGCAGGTACATCCCCAGTAGGGGGTGTGCAAGAGGCAGCTGATCGATGATTCTCTCTCATTGATGTTTCTAACTCTCTATCCCTCTCTCTTCCTCTCTGTAAAAAATCAATAAGATATATTTTAAAATTAGAGGTCTATCAACACAGACCACAGTCTTATTACTAGGGCAGGTGCAATATGGAAAGGTGCAGGCTCCAGGGGAAAGATGGAAGCCAGCTGTTACAGCTGAGGCACATGATCAAAAAAAAAAAAAAAAAAAAAAAAAAAAAAAAGATTAATTAGCTATTGAGTTATTTAGCTCACACCAAATAAAGTTTTTTGTATTTCCTTTTGATTAAGTTCAAAATCAGTCCTAAAGCCTAAGGCAGAGCTGATCCTGAAGTTTAAGATCAAATTTAAGACCTCAGCTGAGGAAAAACATTGAGCTCCAAATAGGTCCATTACATATTAGAGACCCTTGCTATATCCACTGATTAAGAGATAAGTTACATTTTTTTTTTTTCTGTTTAACAAACCTTTTTGGGAAGAACTTGTATATATTAGAGGCCCGGTGCATGAAATTGGTACATAGAGGGGTCCTCTCAGTCCATCCTGAACCTTCTCCAATCTGGGACACCTCAGGAAATATTACTTTTGAGACCTTCTCTTCTGTGCTCCCATCAGTGGTAGGGCTAAATAGCAACAGTAGGATGTGGGATGGTAACAATGCAGGTTCAAAGTAAGAAGCTCTTCCTGAAGTATTCTGAGACCTCAGCAGAAGCAGCCAATGGGAAAGGGGAAGAAGCAAGGCTGGGCTGGGCACCAGATGCTTGGCCTGGGCTATGAGTACATCTAAGGGGTTTAGCATATGGCACAGTGTCAGCAGCTAAATATGAATAAGCAGTGACAATCCATCCCAAGGGGCTGACCAGTGTCACTCCTTGACTGACCTAAGAATGTTGTGTTACCAATGGGGATGTCCGCCTTAGATGAACTCACACAGGAGCATGTTGTAAAAGGTAAATATTTTTATTTTTATTTCTAAAATAATAACCAGACTCTTTTATATACAGTAGTTTAAACACACACACACACACACACACACACACACACACAATAATAATAATACCTAAAATAATAATTTTCCTGTTTCACAAATGAGGAAACTAATGTTCTAAGAGTTGAGTTAATTTTACTCAAGGTCTAAAATAGACTACAATAATAAACAAGTTAAGAAGTCCTCTTATTTTTCTTCTGTTCTCTATCTTCAGGAAAGCTGCATGACTTAATTTTCTCCAAAGTAGATTAAATGTTTCTCTTGCCACCTTACCTCCCACTACTCCCTCAACCACACCCCTGAAACCAGATCTAACCAGGTCCCTCATCATGCACAGGATCTATTCAGAGAGATTGATGGCTGAGCACAGAGTAGACCTCAGAAAGGAAAGCTGATCAAATCCTGCAGGACTTTGATAGTCCCAGGCTTTTCCAGAGTTTATAAAACAGCTTGCATATTAATTCTTAATCTTGTCAAGGTTGACCAGAAAGCCAGATTCTTTCAGGTCAAGGGTAGGTCAAAAGATTGGTCAATAGATAGCTTTTTTTAAAGGCTAGTCACCAAATGTTAACCACCATGTTTCCTCAGCAAACATTAACACCCTGAGAATTCAGGTGTTGCTCCAGGCAAGAAGAGAAGTCTCCTAAGGAAGCAGACCTATCTCCTCTCATGCCAGCCCTTCTCCTGAAACTCAGCTCTCAGTCTAGGGCAGCAAGCATCCATGAGAAATGGGGAAGCTTAGGCAAAACAGTGGAAGCTCTAGTTAACAGAAAGAATAATAGCTGGTGCTTATTGATCACTTAATTTGAACCAGACACTACTCTAGCAGTTTTTAATGTATTAACTCACCAACTCCAGAAACCATCCTGGGCTGTGTATAGACTATTATTAGACTCACTTACAGAGGAGTGGATGGAGGTACAGGGATATTCTGCAATTTCCTTGAGGCCACAGAGTAGAAAGGTTAGCCTCCCAGCTTTACTGGTCTGTGCCTTAAACATTCTCCAAGGTTCTCCCTCAACCTTAAACTCAGTGCTCAGCACCTGCTCACCCTCCTCTATTACCTAAGCTTGGTATCTGAAATAACTCTGCAGCTCTGAACTTACAACTTTACATAGGAAACAGCATTGCTTCTCTCCAGGTATTTGTTCGATGTCACATTTCTCACAGTGGAATGAAGAGTTCTATAATCTTTTAGGTGAATTTCAGGCATAAGCAAATATGTGGAAGAGACTTTAGAGGAACAGAACCTTGACCCTGAAATCACACTGGATGAAACTGGCTGTGCTCAGGTCATATTAAAGGACCACCCTTTAAATGAATGGGTAGTCCTTTAATAGGCAGAGGGTTCCATGTGGCTATCACCTCATCATAAAAATGTCATCAAGACACCTCCCATGTTGGGGTCCCCCAATTAGAATCTACACCTGAAGCAAACTGCCTGGTTTTCAGGTCAAGGGTAGGTCATAAGATTGGTCAATAGATAGCTTTTTTAAAGACTAGTCACCAAATGTTAACCACTATGTTTCACACCTCTGCAGTCTATTCCTGACCCTGGCCCCTCCTGTCCCAACCATGTTTCTAAGAGCAATCTGACCTGAGGTCACCAGAATCTAAAAAGTGACCACTCATATTCAGGGGGAATAATTCTCTGCTAGTTCACTTCTGACCTCCCTCCCCATTTCTTGCCACTGGAATTCTGCTCACCTTAGGAGAACCCCATCAATTTTTGATTTTTTATTCTGAATTAAAGTCTGAAATATATGACCTTTTTCCTGTGGTTTAGCCTTGTACTGGACTGTGATTCTGCCTTGCGCTTACCATATACCCCATGTCACTGAGCTGTAATTCCACTTTAAACACTGTGGATGAGGCCCAATCTCTGATTTCTGCTGAAAAACCTCCCTCATGGTGTCAGCTCTCCATTCTGGACTTGGAAGGATCACTTAGTATGAATTTTCTGTTTCTGTCCTCTAATGCTTGTTGGGCCCCAGCATGGTCTGCCATGGTGCCAACTGTTGTTTCTGAACTCTTCTGATATCACATGCATCCAGATGTGAAAGCATAGTCCCAATTACAATTTATGAGGCCCTGGGCCATGAGAGGAAGATACCTTTAATTCATCTTCCCCTCCCCCGCCCCCCACACACACACATACACACTCATAGGTTCAAAAATAGATGTTGAAATTTTTTGTGGATATTTTTGGGGAGAATTGTTAGTGCATTCCTATCTCTTTTCTACACTTCCTCCTAATATGGGTCTAAGCCTTGTGCACATTTTCAGTTCTACTAAGCAGTGTAATTCCTGATCTTGGCTTCTACTGTTTTCCCCCCAACTTTTACTATAGCCACTAGCTGGGTATAAGACCACAACCATGCTCCTCTTCTCTAGAATGGCTGGATATACAACACCCAGGAGGAAAAGGCCTCCTGCTGAGACAATCTAATGAACTTTTTAACAGCTCAAACTGGGACTTTAATGGGAAGGTCAACTTTAACAGATCATCTGAAGTAACTCTCAATAATAAATTATTACACTTATCAATTACATTTATTGATCATCTGAACTAACTCTCAATAGTAAATTGAGAGTTAGTTCAGATGATCAATAAATGTAATCAATAGCCAAAGCCGGTTTGGCTCAGTAATAGAGCATCAGTCTGCGGACTGAAAGGTCCCAGGTTCGATTCCGGTCAAGGGCATGTACCTTGGTTGAGGGCACATCCCCGGTAAGGGGTGTGCAAGTGGCAGCTGGTCGATGTTTCTCTCTCATCGACGTTTCTAGATGTCTATCTCTCTCCCTTTCTCTCTGTTAAAAATCAATAAAACATATTTTTTAAATGCAATCAATAAATGTAATAATAATATCCCACCCTAGAGGCTAGAAAATGGGGGAGAGTTAACCTTTGTAAAGTTCTACTAAATTTTTTCCTCCTCCCTTTTAAAGTGCTCAGATAAAAACTCAAATGTAAAGATGCTTAATTAAGAGTAATATGCCAGTGTTTCCCTCTGGTTTCCCAGCACCCACATATGCCAGTCAATGTGTATAACAAAGCTCTCTTTACTCTCCCTCTCTCTCTCTCTGGACACCAGCACATCAGGTTTTTAGAATCTGGAACAGAGGGCGTCCCTTTAGGGTTCTTTAGTTCCCTAAGATTTGCCTTTGCCTTGCCCCATTGCTGAATATATGGGCCATGACTCAAAATGAAAAGGAATGTAAAAGAGGATGTGCCTGTTGTCAGGTGGCTCTTACAAACAAAACCTGAGACCCATGAATATCCATGAAGAAAAGCCATGAAACTCTCTAAGATGAAACCGTACCAAGACTGATCCTTCCTGTCCACATCTCCCTATCCCTCTCAGGCTTTAGTCTGCCATTTTGTGACTTCTTCTTCCCTTCATGGATGCCTAATATTTGTTTTTCCTTGTGTAGAAATGTTTCATGGGTTGACTGTGAGTAGACAGCTAATTTGCTATAACTCCACCCGAGCCTGCTTAGGAATGGTTCTGGCCTTAACTTCATTATGGAGAGACAGGCTTGTTGCTTTGTGATTTCAATCAATGAAGTCTTTCTTCTGGACAATCGGTTTATTGTTCAGGTCACCACTCACTGGCCAAATGGTATTAGGTGTGTGAGCACTGTGGACAGCAAGGGTGTATCCTGTATCAGTGCAGATATGATGACAGCAGCCTCTCATTGAGGACAGAAACAATTGTGCTTGGAGTTGGTTCTGTAGGTTTTAAAGAAGATGTGCATATTTCCATTTATGTGCTGGTCGATCAAGAAGTTTCTGTTCTCTGAAAGGTTATGTCCATCTATTTCCTTCCCACCTCACTCCAGCATCACTGAGTAGGGACGAGTGTGCTCACAAAGGGCACTGAGTGGTCTGTCACACTTGCAGTTGAAGTTTCTCCTTGAGTTGTTAATACTCACATCTCATCTTCAACGATTCATTAATTTAGATCCATTGTTTGGACTTAACGATGCATTCTAAATATGAACAAAAATAACAGTGATGTCAATGAGTAATTGCATTGACACAAATGCACATATATTTATATGTATGTATATGCCTGCCTAGACATAAACATGTAAAAATGAAGACACACAGAGAGGGACCTACATTGACACATTTACACAGAATTAAGTTACCATTTTTCACTGAATCTAACTTTGGAAGCTACATCATTATTTTTATTTTTATGTCCCACCAAGAAAGAAAAAGAAATTGCCCATTAAACTATAACATCCCACTGACAGTAAAATACATTCCAATTTCAGAAATGTTAAAAAGTGAAGAGAATGTCTATCATAGAACTGGTGAACTATGTTAAAAGTTATACTCAATATCAGCTAACCATTAATGCTGATTCCTATTGTGTCCAGAAACTTGTTTATTTGTTTGTTTTTAAGGAAGTAGTTCTTGTTGAGAAACTGTTAGTTGAATGAATGGCTTCTTTATAATTAATATAGCAATGTAGTAATTTTAGTTGGTATCTTAAAAGACAAGTAGCTTGGACAAAAGTCATCTTCAAAATCTATAAGAACACAGACACATTAATCCAAGGGAATATGGTTTACTAAAAGAATCCTGAGCAAGCAGAATGTTAATTCCCATGGTTTGCTGAATAGCTTTGGGCAAGTCTCAAGTTCTCTGAGCCTTGGTTTCCTTACCTATGAAATGAGTAAGCTGACTTATTTCTCATTTCCACCCACTAGCATTTTATGAATATATGATACTGGGTCCATGTTGTCTCAACTTAGTGGTCCAAATGTCAGGTTGAAATACATCCAATGTGGAAAATTCTCTTGAGTATATATTATGCTTCACTTAAGCTTTAGCAGGACACTGCAATATTTTTTGAATGAAGAAATGAATGAATTAAGATAGACCTAATGATTTTCTGTGTTGAAAAATAATGAATACTAACCTATAATATTTGTCTGTGCATGAGGACACTGACCCTCCAGTTTTGAGACCAAAAGAGAGAGGCTTACCTCTGCTACTCTTGCTGGCCCCTTAAGTGAAGACATCTTCATCTTCAAAGCATCTCTTATCTGAAGAACCAATGACAGTGAAGAAATGACAATATCCCCAATACCCAGTTCATGCCTTAGAACTTGGGACCAGTCACACTGGCAGAAGCAGCATCAGCTGGCTTAGCACAGTGTTTGGCAAATAATAATGCTTAGATAATTGTGAAGGTGTGGTTAATGAGGTTTACTATTAAGATTTAAATTGTAGGTATGGTTTTAATTGTTTTCATCAGCTGTGTTCACATATAGCCTCCTGTTGACTTGATGGTGTGCTGGGAATGAGAGAATAGAGTTCTTTCCTTTACCTCTCCTAGCTGATGCCCTTAACCCCGCCCTCTAACTCAACTCCCCTGAACCATGCTCTCTGATTAAACCTGCTTCTTCCTCTTGCTTCCCTCAGTCATATGAAAATCACTTACAATGAGTGAAACAAATTCAAATTACCTTGTGATCCATAATGGTTCCAAACAGCAAGATGAAGAACCCCTGTGGCAAAATTCAACAGAAGTATGAGGGAGAGTTTTGAGGTCAACATCCCAGCTGTTATATTCATACCATACATTTTGATATCTTCTAGGATGTTATCAGATATTCAAAACTTCACTTACCACTGATTTATATAAAAATGTATTGATGTATATTTTCTTGAGTGCACCTCAAAGAAAGAGGATTACCTTCATGTCTGTGCATGATAATGGTTGGTATTTCTTAAGTGGCTATCAATGTAGGATAGAGTTTTCAACCTCATTAAATCTGTTTACTTTCTTCCCAAATATTAAGTGAGCTGTTCTTCCTCATGATGACAGTGAGACATGACATGGGATCTTGCAACTCAAAGTCACTATAATAAAAGGTATCTTGAGAAAATGAAACTTGTATTCTAGACTATTTTCATACCAAATTCTCTGGGTTGGTGGAAGAAGTTTCTGAATAAAAGAGAAACTACAGAAACCAATAAGGTCAGAGTCTCCTCAAGTTTAAACACTTGGTCACCTATAAAGTCACAATCATTGGAAGCCAATCTTTTTAAATGTTGGGAGTTGACATCCAAGAAAAATCTGCATCTTGCCATGAGAGTAGAGGGAATCTGGGTTTTTCATGGTGAAAAACCATTGCTCAGAAGACTGAAATTGTAAAATGTGAGTCATGAGTGTCTTAGTATTTTTCTTCCTATCAAGAAAAAAGACAATTACTGGTAAATGATCTGAACAGAACCACAGAACATTCTGAGGTTTAATTAAATTGCAAAGTAAAAATAGGATGAAGCCATTTGTCACCAGAGTAACTGGTGAAAATCCTCCAGAGTTGGGAGGTATAATGTGAATTTAAGAGCTTTTGATTTCAAAACACAAGCAAATAAATAAACAACACAACAACAAAACAACGCTTAAGTCAAAGGTTTCTCTTTAAAGTAATGCAAGGGAACAAGTGAAACAAATAGTCTCTATAGTTATTAAATACTTATGAGTAAGTTATATAATTCATTGCTTTATATGTATTTTGTACCAAATTTCTAAATATAGTAGCAATGACATGTTAATAGGAACACTTTATTATGCAGTTATTATTTAAATACTAGTCAGACTTTCTTTTTTCCTTTTTGCTTAGTACAAGCAGATAATAAATATGTTAGGCCTTCAGGGTATGCAATCTCTGTTACCACTGTGTCAGCTTTGCCATTGTAGCTCAAAAACAGCCATGGGCAAAATGTAAATGATTGAGTATGGTTGTGTTCCAATAATACTATTTACAACAGGCAACACGCCATAGTTTGCCAACCCCTGATTTAAAACATAATTAAGAATATAAACTTGCCAGATTTTCTGTTACCATAGGTAAGGGAAGCAGTCTGGCCAATGACAGTTTCCCACATGAGTAAGCTTAGCAGCCAAATGAAGTGAAACAGCTCTTAGATGGATCATCGTGCCAATCAAGTATGTTAAGGAATAAAAGACAATAGAGATCATATTAGATCCATCTTTTTATCTTACAGATGGAACGTTGAGAGAAGTGACTTTCCTAGGATCAGGTAAAACATGGTAGGATTCAGTCCTATGAATGGCAACCTACAATTACATCCCAGGGGAGAGAGGCATGGGAACCCCTGACTGATTAACACTCAAAGAGAATGGCACACCATGGAAAATGATTCATTTCACTGAGGTCTCAAAGTACTTGAGAAAGGATAAACATTGTGCTTGCTCGGAGGCATGAGACGTGAGTATAGCCTCACACATTCCTGACCTCCATAAGTGCGGGTCAACTTTTTCTGCCATGGAAACTTTAGGAGGGATACAGGTGGCTCAGTAAGGAGAGAAGAAAGGAAATTTTCACCCAACCAGAGCCTGACCAATTCAATGTAACTTGATAAACAACAGGGTGAGAGATGCCACATCTAAATGACCCTAAGACATGGAGGGAAATGGAAGAAATATTTTGTGTTCTATGTTTTTAAAACAGCCATTTTTGTTGGAATAACAAATTAGAAAATAACATATTGTCAGTGAAATATTAATTAATAATATTAATTAATAAAGTAAGTCTCCCTCTTGGAACTTACCTGGAAAGCATTGAGCAGGGCAAAGATTATGTGGAATACCAAGGAATTGCCTTTGATGAGAGTGGCTATCCCAAAACCCCAGGTCAGTCCCAGCAGTGGGGTGAGGATGGCAACATTTTTACTGATCCTTCTAATTATGGCCACATCTTGAGACTTGGAACTGCCAATAAAGGGCCTCTGAGTGTTGACGGCAACAACCAAAACCACAAGAAGGTTCACGGCCACAATGACCAAGGCTGGGATGGCGAATGCTAAAAGGGCTTTGGTATTGTCCCAGTTAAGCCAACAGGCATCATGTCTCATGTAGCCTTGCTCTGGCACTGTGATAGCAACTGTGGTGCCAGCGATGATCAGTGGGAACCCATAGCCAATGATAAAACCAATTACCATCATGCGGGACTTCATCATCCTATGAAAAACGACCAATATTCCATAGATGATGAGCAGAGCTTTGAAGAGCATCCAGAAAAACAGAGAGAGGTAGAAAAAATGGCTAAAAAATGTCATTGCAACACACCACTTGTGGTCCCGGGCCTTTTTGCTAAAGTTGGAGGATATGATGAACCACACATTCGCAGTCAGGAGTGACACGGCTATGTTCACGATACACACGTGGCGCATGTATGATATCTCTGTCACAACAACCCGGGACCACACCGTAGCTTCAATGAGCAGACAAAGAACCAAGCTAAGGATGGAGACGCTGAGCCCAATGCAGGTGATGTAATCCAGGATTTTGTCATCTATCGATATGGGGGACATTAGAATGGAAAAAGACATCACTGCATTGGTGTAGTTACACCGGCATTTCACTCTGTTCTTGATATCCAACGTCTTTTCACACGCCTTCTCATCCCATCTCCTTTTCCTGGAATGCCAGCCAACACAGTGAGCCCTAGCACTCTGGGATTTATTGATCTTCTCGAACGTGAGTATGATCTGCTTCAATCTGTCTGGTAAAATCACCGAAAGAACCAGGCCATTTACCAGCCTGGGAAGACTCACATTGGGCATGTGCTCTTCTTTCAGAACAGCCCCCAAGGTGGGAAACGCTATGGTGATGGCTTGGGAGTCATTTGGTGGCAGCTTCCACAGATGATGCTTGGGAATCTCTATCATTCCTAAGATTTCCTCTGGTGTATTGTTCACGTTCCCGGAGAATCTGAAACTTTCCTCCAACGACGTATTGTGGCTGAGGTGAAACCCTTTCGTCTGAATGAAGGGTTCATCCACAATGTTCTCAGATGCATTGCGGAGGTGGAGTTGCCGGGCGAACAAATTCACTGACTGCAGCAAATCTGAGCTGGCCTTCTTGTCAGGAATGAAAGCCCAGTTTGAAATGGCTGCTGTGTCGAGGATGTGGTTGGCCACCTCGCTGTAGCTCTGCAATGGAGAAAAGTGGATATGATAGCAAGGATTCACACGTTATTTCACAAAGTTGGTTTCTAAAATCTGAAAATGTTGAGGCAAATGATCTGATCTTATTGGACATATTTCTCTTGGAATTTCCCATTTATTGAATCTCATGCTGATAAGCCTACAGGGAAGATAAAGTAAAAGGATGTTAAAAATAAAATGTATCACAGATAAAGTTTATCTGCTTTTTTTATGTGCCCAGGGCAGCATTTCCAAACTGCAGTCTATATAACACAAGCTTCCCATATGATATTAATGATTATTTAATGAAGGAGATTGGGGATAGATTCTATAATAATTTAAGTGTAAGAAATACATATTCCTATATCACTCACTCCTATAAAGTGTGCCAAAGTTCATTTACTTATTAAAAGGTCTAAAGAAGGAAACCTACTTAGCTTTAATTCAGAGTCCCTATACTTGTTGCATCTCCCTATTAGAAATGGTAGCTCCCTGAATATTTCTCAGAACAATTATGTTCTCCAGAATAAAATTTTGGAAATGCTTGAGTCAACACGATCTTGCTCACTGCTATCACCATGTGATATGTTTCTGCAAATATTAATCTTATACAACAAACATATGTAAAAAACTAGAGGCTTGGTGCATGACATTTGTGCACTGGGGGAAGGAGGTCCCTCATCAGGGCCTGTGCCCTCTCACAGTCCAGGACCCCTCATGGGATGTCACTGAGGGGTCCTTAGCACTGCTCACCAGCTGTGAGCCCAGCTTCTGGCTGAGCAGTACTCCCCTGTGGGGAAGCACATTGACCACCAGGGGGAAGTTCCTGCATTGAGCATTTGTCCCCTGGTGGTCACTGTGCATCATAGCAACCAGTCATACCACTGTTGGGTCTATTTGCATATTAGGTTTTTATTATATGGGATGTTCAGACTTTTTGACAACTTCCATAAACCTGAATGAATTCATGTGAAAAACTGAACTGAAAATTGTTAATGTTATATCTGCTGTGGTGGTTATAGTTTTTCCCCTGCAAATATATTTGAAACTGTTATTAAAGTGCAAGCTTTGCGGGGAGATCATGATCGGTGTTTAACAAAGAATATCTACCTTCATTTTCTCTTGGGTAACATTAACAGACAAGTCTGTAGAAATGTTTTTTAGTAACTCCACAATAAATGCGATATTTCCAGACGTGGCTTTGGAGGATTTCACGGCTTCAATTATGCAAGCGTAGTCCTGCGGGCAATTCCTGAGGATTCCTTGCGCTACGCTCTTCAGGGGCTCCGGAGGAGCGTGAAAGTCAAGAATGGGCAGGGTCATGGAAGGCGCTGCGATGGAAAGACGTGGTACACTTTTCGAGTCCTGTTTTTAAAAAATGGTGTTTTATTAAAAATTAATAAACACCTAACATGCCTCAGACTGAATGAGATAAAGTCACAAAAATGATCAACATGAAGAAAATAGACCAGAAGCAAGGGGTCCTAAAATGTGGTTTAGATGCTAAGAGTTACAGACAGGTTAAGGTGAAATTCTCACACAGGCAGGAGATTGTATAAAAATTCCCACAGAGATCTCTTTTCCTATTGGAGTTTGCTTTTGAAGACCGAGGCTTTAACTCAAGACTCTAAGAGTTTTCGCCAGAGATGTGGAGAAATTCTAGAAAAAAATTGGTCCAATAATTATTATATTTTTAAGAGGAGCCACATTAAGAGGAATTTAAGGGTGGTGTTGGATATTGGCAAGTCAAATACGGAACACAATGGGATTGCAATTTCAAAAAGCTGAGTTCACTAATTAGAATAAATTATTTCTTTTTTTCCCTCATATGTTTACCCAGAGTCTCCCAGAATGTGACTTTGGATAAGTCAAAGCAATAATACACTTCATTTAATTCCCTTTGGATTGCAAAGACCTCTACCTATGCTAAGTGGCAGAGTCTCCATGACCCTTACAGAGTCACAGTTGAAGATTTACGAAAGGCAGAGATACATGTGCTTCTATGGGATTAGAGAAAAGGTAAGTTTACATGGTGCTTAAGTGAAAGAACATAAAACAGAATATTTTCATTTTTAACTCAGATTTTTTTTTGTTTCCACTGCATTACTATTCCTTTTGGGTCACTCATTACTCTGGGCAAGTTATTGAAAGTATTAGAACAAAATTGAAAATGAATTGGGCTCTAGGCACATTTAGTTGATTAATTAGGTAGTCCAGAGACATGCAAATCCACATTTAGAGCAAAAACTTTATCCAACTAGCATGGTTCAGTGATTGAGTATGAACTAGGAGGTCAGGTTTTGATTCTTGGTCAGGGCACATGCTTCGTTGTGAACTCCATCCTCAGTGGGGAGGAGAACGGGGCATGCAAGAGGCAGCCAATCAATGATTCTCTCTCATCATTGATGTTTCTATCTTTCCCTCCCTCTATTTTCCTATCTGAAATCAATAAAAACATATTTTTAAAAAAGAGCTAAAACTTTATCCTCCAAGCATTTACCATTACGTAAATGAGTTTCAGATCTGATTTAAAAAAATATATATTTTATTGATTTTTACAGAGAGGAAGGGAGAGGGATAGAGAGTTAGAAACATTAATGAGAGAGAAACATTGACCAGCTGCCTCCTGCACACCTCCTACTGGGGATGAGCCCATAACCAAGGTACATGCACTTGACTGGAATCGAACCTGGGACCTTTCAGTCTGAAGGCTGATGCTCTATCCACTATCCCAAACCAGTCAGGGCCATTTTTAAGAAATTATTTTTAAGAAATTATTTTTAAGAAATGATTCTGAAAGGGAGAGGGAGATAGTGGAGAGTGAGGAGAGAACCTGAGTTTGGGTAAGGAAGAAGAGACAAATTTAACCTATTCTGTAGATTTTCCTAAATCTGAGACTCATGCTCTATATGACATGTTAAAAATGCCTCTACCATCTCCTGAGGGATTGGCTCCTATTGCCAATAAAATGCAAATACATCACCTGAAAGAGCGTTTCCACAGAAAGACTTGTACACGTTTCAGTTGATTTTTGCCATTTGTTTTGGTTACATGTAAATCCTATTTCTCCACGAAAAGATTGAGCACAGGGCTGGCTGCAGTTGGATGAAGTGATGCAAGGTCCATGGCATTTCTCTGAAGAAAGAAAGAGAGAGAGAGAGAGAGAGAGAGAGAGAGAGAGAGAGAGAGAGAGAGAGAGAGAGAGAGAGAGAGAGAGAGAGAGAGAGAGAAAGAGAAAGAGAGAGAGAGAGTAATTAAAGAGTAATTAACAGTTCCATACTTCCATGGGGGCATCAAACTCATACTGGGGATTTTAAGTTGCTTCCAAAGGAGATGATATTAACCTGGGTCCTCAGCAACAAGACAGACCTGCCAGGCAGATTGTGAAGCTGATGTCTAGGCAGTGGGTGGAAAGGAGGGTCACAGGTCTTTCAGAAAGGCTACCTCAGAGCATCTGAGGGGAGAGTGGCCAGAGATGAGGAGGGGGAGGGAAGCAGTGGTCAATTCCTAAAGGACCTTGAATGCTGTGCTAACATGGACATTACCAGAAAACAAGATAAATTCGTTTTTGAAAAATAATTAACAGTAGCATAGAGCAGGAATCTGCACACTTTTCTGTAAAGGATCGTAAAAATGTCAAATAAAACACAGGAAGCTCAGATATATGTTAATCTTTTCAGATACAGTCGATTCTCATTATTTGCAATAGGTATTTTCTATGAAGTTGCTGCCATAAACACTGAGTCAACAAATACTGAGCCATCCTCCCATCATTCCTAGGGGAATACAAGGTTTCTAGGATCTTCTGCTTGCAAAATTTTCAACAGATCAGTATCAATATATGTTTTATTTATTTATTTATTTGCTTATTTATTTATTTATTTATTTATTTTTATATTTTATTGATTTTTTACAGAAAGGAAGAAAGAGGGATAGAGAGTTAGAAACATCGATGAGAGAAAGACATCAATCAGCTGCCTCTTGCACATCCCCTACTGGGGATGTGCCTGCAGCCAAGGTACATGCCCTTGACTGGAATCGAACCTGGGACCTTTCAGTCTATAGGCTGAAGCTTTATCCACTGAGCCAAACCGGTTCCGGCTATATGTTTGTTTTATGTGTGTGTTTTATTTAAAGTAACCTTATATAATAAAGAGTTGATTTACTGACATTGAACTCATGGACAATAAGTACTATAACTCATGGTAGCATATAAACAAAGCTTAGGGCACAAAGGTATTTTCTCCAGAAGGTACATCACAGCTCAGTTAGAAACATTAGACAGCACTTTGCCCTATTCTTGGGGCCATATTAAACAGCAAGATCAACAACAGAAAAGCAAAATAGCTGGCATTACTTAGGCCACCCAAACAATGTGTATGGTAAGAGAGCTGGAACAAGAAGGCAGAGCATCACTTGTTCAACCTCAGCTGGGAACATGCACCTGGCCAACTCAATTTTTTTTGTTTTTTTTTTTGTTGCTGTTTTGTGAGTGATGGAGAATGGACTGTGAGTATTGATTTTGAGATTAAGAATACATATCAAAAGAATAGGGGAATTTGCAAATACAGAATCCACAAATACCATGAGGATTGACAACGGAAAATGTTCAGATAAACAATGAATAATGTTTTAGGGTATATATGGCCCATGCATTCTTACTCATTGTTTTTCTGAAATATAAATTTAACCAGACATCCTATATTTTTAATTGCTAAATAAGACTATACTCACCAGAGAGTAAATAGTTTCAACACTGTGGGCTATACAGTCTATGCAAATATGCAAATAAATGGGCATGGCTGGGTTCCAATAAAACTTTATTTACAAAACGTGATGGTAGGCTTATTTTGGTGCATGGGTAGAGAGAATTGACTTGAGGCAGAGAGCCCAGGAATGAAGCTGCTGAAGTATTCCTAGGATGATAGCAGGGAAATGGAAAGAAGTAAATGAGGCTGAGAGCTATGAAGGTGTTGACATCAGTATAATGTGGTGACCATTTGGCTATGAGATAAGAATACACCCACATTTATGTCTTGAATGGCTCTGTTGGTTCACAGAGAAAGGAAACAAGTGGTTTTACCCAGTGTATCAATTGGGCAGTTATTTAAACTGAGTGCCTGTCAGTTTATATGATTTGGAGATGATACCATGGTGTTGTTACAAACATTAAATGAGTAACAGCATCTTGGGCAGCACTTCGACTAAAAATGTTCAATAAAGTATCTCCAATTTTCTCTTCTTTCTATTTTCAATTCCATATCTAAGTAGAAATTAATCTGCCACCAAAATAGAGTTGGTCATGAATGTGCAGAATCCAGTTTATTCCCATTATTTGGGTAAGAATCACATGATTTCACTATTTTATGACTAATAATTACTTATATTTTTTCTTTCACTTCTCAAGGGTGACCAGTCTCGCTAATACAATATCTATCTAACATCACTTCAACACATCTCTTAGCACCAAAACATTACATATGGTTAAGCAATACAAAAATATATTTGGATGAAAAAATGAATGAATAATATTTTTTCCCCTCTTCTGCCTCTTGTTAACTTGTTAGTTCAAACGGATTTTCCTAGTGTATTTTTAAATGAATACTTATCTACTGTTCTAGAATCTGTGAATATCTGTCAACTTTCTTCATTGACTATGCTATGGATAAGGGTATATTTGTAAGAAAATTTATCACTATTGGTAACCACTGACAACTTATTAGAGATTTTTATATTTTATTGGAACACTCATGATCTGGGGACATGCTTGCAATGGAAGAAGAATACTGTTCTGTAGCCACATACCTTGTATCCTTCCAGTCTTGGGTTTCTCTTCAGGATGTTGCCATTTATCTCCATCCTGTAAAACACAAATTCCCAGAGGTCCTCTTTACTATGGAATTCTCCTCACTCATCTTAACTTAGAGGCTCCACGTGGATGTGAAGAGAAAATGTGTTCAGGACTAGGAAGAAAAATGCAGCAGGTTCATGTGCTGATACCGCAAGAACTTGCTGAAGGAGCACGCTGCCCTCCAAGAAGGGCTAGAACCTTGATGCTGGTCACCTGGGCTCTGAAAGTCAAGTTAGTGGATTGCATCCATCATTCGGAAAGTCTAAGTATTCAGAGAGACCACACAGATGACAATTTCAGCACTAAGCTTTCCTCTGCCTATCTTCACTGTAACTGTGAAATGTAGCGCATGTACTCCGGCGTATCATATATTGAGAAAAATAGAAATGAACTGATACTAGAAGTAAGTATTAGGTTGTAATAATGGAATCACAAATTATTGTATAGCTATAAAGAACTATAAAGTTTATCTAAAGGGAAAAAATACCCTTCATATTGTATTATAGATAAATAAATTATTGATAAAATTCAGAAAAGTGAAGCAACTTGTGTAATTAACAAGAATCAAACAAAGTTAAGGTCTGAATCTAAATCTTTCAACTACCCAGCTGCCAGGATAGTGCAGTCATGTCCTGCCTAATGATGTTTTTGTCAGTGATGGACTATGTGTATGACTGTGGTACACCATTACCGTAGGTGGGTAATACACTGTACCATCTAGGTTTGTGTAAGTGCCCTGTGTGGTGTTTGCACAATGACCTAAATCACCTAACGATGCATTTTTCAAAACATATCCCCATCATTAAAAAGCTCATGACTGTACTTTCTTCTTTCAATTGCTGCCTCTCTACGTTCTCTATGGTTGGAAAGTGATTTTTCTACTATATTGTTGTACCCTATTGTACCTCAAAACTTTACTGTTGCAAGTCCCAGCCACTTCTCACATTTTCTTTCTTTCTTCCTTTCTTTCTTTCTTTCTCTTTCTTTCTTTCTTTCTTTCTTTCTTTCTTTCTTTCTTTCTTTCTTTCTTTCTTTCTTAATATATTTTATTGATTTTGTACAGAGAGGAAGGGAGAGAGATAGCAAGTTAGAAACACCAATAAGAGAGAGTCATTGATCAGCTGCCTCTTGCACACCCCCTACTGGAGATGTGCCCGCAACCAACGTACATGCCCTTGACCAGAATCAAACCCGGGACCCTTCAGTCCCCAAGCCGACTCTCTATCCATTGAGCCAAACCGGTTTCGGCCACATTTTCTTTCTTCCTGTCTCTAGAAAACTACTGTCAGTAAGAGTAAAATGGCAGTCATTTGGAATGTCTTTAATATGACATGTTATTTATCATAAAACTAGCCATCTAGACGAACTGCCAGTTTTCCCATGGCGATTTTGGATCTATAGTGAGAACATTCTACTTACTTTTATGTGGATCTTGGCCCTATAAAGAGAACATTCTGTGGTCAGGAATAACATTAAACAGCAAATCATGGTTGACTGGGACTTCATTTTCACACATTAGGATCTTCACCTGCAATAGAGAAAGAAGGTGTAGCCTGCTGAAGGTGATAATGCCACCCAACTAGCACAATACTTCACAGAAAAGTCAACCACTGAGTAATCCCACTGGGTACTTTGAGATATTTATACCAAACAACCTACCTCAGGAAAAAGAAGACTGTCTATTAACTATTAACCTATATACAAACAGTAGTAGGAATGATGGAAATACCAGGAAAAATGTGTTCACCAAGGCAGCATTTCTTATTTAACCCATAACTTTCTTTAATAATAAAATGTTCAAGAACTTTTATTTGCTAATCACTGTTCTAAGCACTTTCACTGCAGTAAATTCATGTAATCATGAGGTACAGTATATTATTACAGATTTCATGTTATCAATGGAGAAACTAAGGCACAAGACTTGAACAACTATGAGCCAAAGTCACTCATATGAAAAATGGTGGAGGCAAGAGTTCAACCAGGTGGTTTGTGATAGATCCTCCTTCCCCTAACTAATGGATGGAGTATGACGTAAACTGCACCTGTGGCCTGGATATTCCTGAGCACCTAACCAGACACCTTATATGGACTGTACATTAGACCACCAATCAGCGTGTGCTGAATACCCTAAGCCCCATCCCTTCCCATTCCTTCCCTCAAAAGGCGTGTTCCCCTCTGCACATGTGGCTACTCCCTTCTTGTGGGACAGCCCGGCAGGAGTCCTTCTCTTCTAATAAAGCCTGTAGTCCTGGTTTTCGGCCCTCTGTCTCATCTTTCAGTTTGGGTGGAGAATTATTAATCTCTTTATTCTTAAAGGTGTCCAGTGGGGAACAAAGAAAAGTCAAACTGATGGTGGGAAGAGAGGCTATCAATATATGGAAACAGCCTAGGTGCCCCTCAGCAGATGAGTGGATCCAAAAACTATGGTACATCTACACAATGGAATACTATGCTGCCATAAAAAAGAAGGAATTCTCATCATTTGCAGAAACCTGCATGGAATTGGAGAACATCATGCTGAGTGAAATAAGCCAATCAATGAAAGAGAAACACCACATGACCCCAACTCATTTGTGGATAATAAAGATCATTATAAACTGATGAACCAAAAGATAGATATAGAGACAGTAAAGCAACAAGCAGATTGTCAAATTACAGCGGAGAGGGGAGGAGGATCTGGGGGAGATAATAGATCAACCGAAGGACTTGTATACATGCATGTAAGTACAACCAATGGACATAAAACTCTGGGGAGGGAGGGGATGTGTGAGAGGGAGGGAGGGGGGCAAAAAAATCAATAAAATATGTAAAAATAAATAAATAAATAAATAAATAAATAAATAAATAATTGATTTAAAAAAAAAATATATCGTACCTAATGAATAAGGCTTGGCAGACACCTAGTCTTCAGAAAAGAAAAATCCCTTTATGGTCAAATGGACATGAACTTACTTTGATCTCTCTAGGCTCCCAAGGCAATCTGTGGCCCGGCAGCAGACGAAACTCACTGATCTGCAGTCAAACAGTTCCTGGGTGGAGTCAAGACTAAGATGGTTTTCATGACTCCAGTGAGCCTTCAGTTGAGATAATGAGACACAGGCACTCATATGGAAGTTTCCAAAATGTCTTTGAGTTTAAAATCATTTTTGAGTTCCTAACTATTGAACAGGGGAAAGTATTTTGATTTATACTAATGTCTTGTAAAGCAAGTCTGGGCAGAGGAAAGTAAATATAGCAGAATGATTGACCGGCAAAATGTGATAATAGACTTACATAAGTGTTGGGATATGTGTGCAGAATTCCTGATCTTATAATGTAGGTGGAAAGAAGATCTCATTTATATAGTTCTCATTGGTGGATGGGCACACTAAGCAATTTGCAATGTAAATATTATTTAGATGAATTTTTAAATGATGATCACAAAAAGAAGTACCTGAAAAACCAGTATAGGTTGTCTTAAATGTATCCATGTGTTTCATCTGTGTATCTGTAGGTTGCACAAATTTTTAATATGACACAATAAGAAAGAGATCTTATATTGTGACTCAGTGTATACAGATAAATATATGTTTATGTGTGTATATATATATATATATATATATCCATATATAACTGAAAAAAATTAGAGCCACACAACTAGCACAATACTTTATTGTCATTACCTAGTTGAAAATTGTTCACTTTTCCCATTAAAGTGGTAATTTTGATCCTTTCTCTTTGCTATTCTTTACAATTATGTTGAAATTTCCTTGCCTGGGTACATGTATCAGGGAGAAAAGATACCTACATTCAGAACCAAATAATAGGAATGATGCTGAAGATAAATGCAATTCTCCTCTACCTGGAGATGGTTTGAAATGCAGTTAGATGAGGGAAGGAAAGCCAATGGCAGGCATTTATAAGCAATGGTGCCTTCTATCTAAGGCTGCATAGAAGGGCCACTTTTACTCTAAGTTTCCAGTATAGGAACTTTGCATAAGCTTATCTTGCTAGAGATGTGATTAGATGTTGTGTGAACTAGGGAGTCTAAAAAGATTTCCCCAAGCAGTGCTAGGGCCTCAAGGTGTGAAGATCCTGAAAGAATTCAAGTACCAGGGCCAGTAGTCATGACATTTTATGTAGATCATTATACTCTTTTCGGAACATTAGGAAATAATAATGCATTTTATATATTCACATAAACTAAAAATGTATGCGGAAAGCCACTGCTTTCTCAATACTGTCATAAGCGTGCACCAAGGAACTCAGAAGGCTGATGGACCTTGGACTTAGTAGGGCTGTGTTGAGATAGTGGCTGCTTGAAGCAATTTCCTGACTTAATCGCCTCAAAGTAAAGGTTTACTGAACCTTACTGATCTTTACTGATCTTTATTGACCTTAGAGAGGTCTGTCTGCGGCCTGTTTGTTGTGCTTTTCTGAGGGCAAGATGTGTATCCAAAACTGAATCAAAAGTGAATAAGGCCAGGTTTCAGTGTGCCTCTCCAAGAGAGAGGTCTCCACCTGGCCCCCATGCCTTCTAAATTCATATTTCTTGTATAGTGTTTTCATTTGTGCGTCGACCTGAACCCACTGTAAAAGGTTGCAGCAACGTATACTTGCAGAAATATAGTATTGTATATGCAAAATAAATCATAAGCATGACCATAAGAAACACAAACTTGGAACTGAGTACATTTGAGTATTTGGGGGGTTTGAGTTAATGAATTTGATACTTGATCATTCATATTATTATAGTCTACTGTAGGTAACCCACATACCATTTGGTATGATAATTATATGGTAAATTTCCTTCAGTTATCATAAATGTGTGGGGGAGGGGTGGTAAATGTTTATGATGTTATAACATTTTTATTTTTGTCCAGTTTAATTGGCAAGCATGGGCCGGATGGGTAGATGTTTTCAAGTTAGGCCCAATTATGTTATTTTTTTTTTCTACCAGAAAGAGTTGAATGGGAGCCCTCCCATCAGAATCCAATAATGACTGAGGCCAAAAGCCAGAGCGCTCTGCAGAGGGTTCTGAGGATGAAAACCTCTTAAAAATTAAAAAGAAGCCAGCGTAATCCAAAATCTGAGGTTGGTATTTTATGGAAGAGAGTGAAGGAAGCACACTTTCTTAGATTTATCACTGCTAAAGATTTAGCGGTTCAAGTGAACTTTGAGTTTTGCATGATTCCAAACTGAAAAATATCTTCAGATACAAATAAGGTGCCTCTCTAATACCTAAGACAGTGCCTGCTTATAGTATGTTGTCTCTTGAAATAATGAGGGAAATAAAAGAACAAGGACACAAGATCTAAATATATTCAATTAACTGTGACAAGAGGAGTGTGGATTGCACAGAGAATATCAGCAAACATGGCAATGCCATCAGAAGAAGCTTTTCAATGTGAATCTCACCGAGACAAACTCTTCTGCTTGTTCCTAGAGAAGAGTGGCTGGAGTCACTGTGATGTCCTCTCCTACACGGAGAATCAGAGTTGCTCCATTTGCATTATGCTCAAATGACCTTTACACCATTCACTAACCTCTGATTCTACAGTGTGTTCAATTTAGCAAAAACTCTGTGTCTTTGTGAAATCCTTATTTCCACAAATTCCTTGGGCTTAATACTGTTCAGCGAACTGTCAGTGGCTATTTAAATCAAGGTCCTAGGGTCTCATATATATTTTTTAAAATATATATTTTTTGATTTTTTACAGAGAGAAAGGGAGAGGGATAGAGAGTTAAAAACATCGATAAGAGAGAAACACCGACCAGCTGCCTCCTACACACCTCCCACTGGGGATGTGCCTGCAACCAAGGTACATACCCTTGACCGGAATTGGACCTGGGACCTTTCAGTGCGCAGGCCGATGCTCTATTCACTGAGTCAAACCGGTTTTGGCAGGGTCTCATATTTTTATGGACCCCCATATGTACATTCATAAAATAAACTTTGGATATTAACAATCAATCAGTCAATCAATCAATCAAGATCCTCATACCCAAATGGAGGAAAATAAAAACAGTAACTAGTAATTCTGGCAGGATAATGCTATAATACATGTTTATGCCTGGGACCCACCAGTTGTTTGCCAACAGTTTGTAACACCCACCAAACTTAAATTAAAAAAAAAAAATGGAAGAAAACCTTAACTGAGGACATTGGTACCCGCTGACTTAAATATTCTCTGAATTCAATAAGTTTACCTGCTTTACTCTTAGTAAGAAAACAATACAGAGTTTGTGTCTGTTATATTTGGCCAACATGTGTCCTAAAGTGGATTCTCTGGATCACTGATCTCACAAAGACCTGAGGGGTTCCAAGATCAGATCAGTTTGGGAAACATCGCATACCAGCATCACAGCTGCCCCTTCACCCACACAGATGCATAGCAAAGACTCTGAGAGCCATTCCAGTAAGAAGACTGACCCAGGTTTTGCTAAATTTAGTTGATCATCAAAAGCATTTTGGGGAATTTAAGGCTGCTATTTGAGGACACATTGCTACCATGGAGTGTAACACATTAATCTAGCCAGGCTCTGACTCCATTACATTTATTGGGCCCCTACCACACGCCAGTTCCCTGTGAGCTCCTAAGCTACTCACACTGGACCACAGTCGCCCACTAGCAAGTAAGTCTGGGCTTTAGTAAATCCTGAAAGAAAGGGGCTGTGGACAGATCATCTTTAATCTGTGAAACGAGGCAGAGGTATACTGAAACGTGATGCCTCAAGTGGAGAGGTGAGGGAAGGCAGGCACCAAGTGGCTTGGCAATCAGAAGTTTGGAATGATCAGCAGGGAAGGGAAGACAGACTCACAAACGAGAATAAAAATGAGGGAGAGGAAGCAAGATGCCAAAGGACTCCCTGTGGTAGTTTTGTATATAATGAGGTATCTGACCTTTACAAAGAAGTTCCCTCCAGCTTCTTGGCTAGTCAACTGATAAAGGCAACTCTGCATCCCGTTCCCAAAGTGTCTGAAAGATGACATTTCAGCCATAAAAGCAACAAGCAACCTGGTTTGATAGCTTCTCGGGACCTAGGAAAATAACGTCCCGAATTCCTCATCCCTGCTTCCACCACCCGCCCCTCTCTGCGCCAAATGTGTGATTATCCACTACCACCCACTTATGACTCTTACCTGATAATAAACAGCATTCTAAGCTACTGAATGGAAGCCAGGCTCCTTGATCTAACAGAGAGAAAATAGCATTTGCTGGCCTCAGAGACTTAAAGGAAAATATAAATAGATACAATTGTCCCAGAAGAAATGTATCTCAGGATCTTCCTCCCAGGGAATTCCCAGCAACAGGTGCCTCCCACACCACTGCTGTGACCCTAAGCCAAAGTGACAGTAGGTCCACAGAGCGCAAGACTTCACTACTTTAGCCCCAGAGCCTAAGAGGAATTGGGCCGCAGTTAGTGGAATAGGCAAAAATAAAACATAAAAATAAATCATGATACCATTTGTCAAGATGTGAATACAGTGGACAGTTTTTCTGTCCCCTGCACCTTCCAGAGCATAGGGTACATGAGAGATACATTTGTGGACAAGAGAAAGAATGAATGACTGTAAGGGATGGCAGCTTCTAAAGTGTTGGTTTTATTTTTATTTTTTAAATATATTTTTATTTATTTAAGAGAAGAAGGGAGAAGGAAAGGAAGATAGAAACATCCATGATGAGAGAGAATCATCGATTGGCTGCCTCCTGCACACCCCCAGCTGCGGATTGAGCCCACAACCGAGGCATGTGCTCTTGACTGGAATTGAACCAGGGACCCTTCAGTCCACAGTCCAGCACTCTACCCTCTGAGCCAACCAGCCAGGGCTAAACTGTTCATTTTAAAACCATAGGGCAACTGTTCAATCTCAGAGGGGCAGGCAAACATATTTGCAACTCTAGATAATTTTGGATTGTGGTAATTTGAGTTGAAATGCTCCCAGCCTACTATGGACCTCCTTTTACCTGGAGCTTATATTAAAAAGGATTAAGGTCCCGCCTAGGGGCAGAAAGCAACAATGTCAGGCCTGGTGAGTGTTGTCTGCCATGAGCATGCAGTGCAAGCAGCTCCTATTGGCCCCAGCTTCCTTGTACTTAGAGCTGAGTTTCTGAATGAGTTGGAATTCAAAACTACACTTAGTCTGCGTGGGTCCTGGAGCTTCTTTCAGATGCAGTTGTAGGAGATGACTCACGCAGCCAGAGGCCCCCGACCTGTCTCAACACGCTGAGTGAGAGCTGGCATCAGGACTCTCAAAAAGAAAATGGGAAAATCCACAGCCTGTAAACTGTAACTGCAGTCAGGGAGGAAGGAGGACCTCTCAAGGTCTGACTTCTCAAAACTCTTCATGCAAAACAACACCTGGAGGGGACCTCGATGGTAATTCCTGTAAACAAAGTGGACAACTTCCCAAAGTGCTTCTCCTCATTGAACTTCACCCCAAGGTGACAGGGAGGGCATATTCCCCATTGTTTGCTAACTTCCAGGCAGCAGCTCACCTCATACTTCTTGGCCAGTCTCATGAATAGAAAGACCAGTTCTGAAAGGGCTAACTGGAGGAAGAGTTAGGTGACCCACATTTGGGGGTGTGTATCTGTGCTTCATTTCCTGCAGCCTAATTTCATAACTGTATGTCCCATCCATGCCACTAGTGTAATTAGAACTCTGATTCTATAGCCAGATGGCCAAGCCGGTTGTTGGTGAATTTGTTGGCCTCAATAACAGTATGCAGGCAGCCACTCCTCCCTGGCCCCGGAGGAGCCGGTTCATAACGAGCCTTGGCGGAAAGAAAGATGTAAATGATCTATTAGAACCAGAATCTTCGCATCCCGGGCTATTGTAGACGGCTTCCAGCCAATCTCTCTGTAGCTCAGTACCTTTCCTGAGAATTGCAGAGTGGGTTTAAATCCTGACAAGTTTGAAGAATCACATAATTTCGGGGTTCAAAGGCATTCATGGTTTCAGCAACTATGGTGATGCTCAGATGATTTTAAAGAAACTGACATACTAAGCAATTGCTCTGCTCCATGAACAAAGCGTCACTCGAGTGCTGACACTAAAAAAATCGCACCCTGTGATGCAACATATTTACGTTCCTACAATTGACCTCAGAGGATAAGAGACATAAACCATCAAGTGCCACACTAGCGGCCACTCAAAAGGAGGAGGGTGCCTTTTAGCAACTTTGAATATAGGAAATATTTCCTTATAAGTTGATATAAAGACTGCTTCGTCCTTATATCAACTTGCAAGGACTTAAGAACAAGCTAATAGAGAGTGCTTTATTTTAAAAATCTAGGATCTATGTAATACTTTCAACAATAAAGATTTATTAAAAAATAAAAATTAAAAATCTAGCTTACATTCAGCCTAAAGGAAGGGAATTGCTAGCTGGTTTGCTCATCCAATTGCTCAAGCAAGGGGGCAATCGGAGAACAGGCAGTTTAATTGCCTGACTAGGTGTTTTGCACTTTCACTCTTAGGACTGAGCAATTAGAGCCTAACAAATTACTTTTTTAATTTCATTTACTTATTTAATTTTTGTATTCATTGATGAGAGAGAGAGAGAGAGAGAGAGAGAGAGAGAGAGAGAGAGAGAGAGAGAGAGAGAGATCGCCTTATTGTTGCATTTATTTATGCTTTCGTTGGCTGATTCTAGTACGTTCCCTGACTGGGGATCCAATCAGGATGATGCCCTAACACCAACTGGGCTACACATGGCTTTTTAAAGAAAAACACATGTAAAGGAGACAGGAAATACTCTAACCTTGAGCTAGTTGTTCTCTACAGAATGTCAGGAAAGATCCCTACATAATCAAGCATTTCAGAAAACACCACTCGGAATCACACTCTTCCCTGCTCTGGAACACGAGTAAAGACAATCCTGGCGTGGCAGGTGTACTCACGGCCTCCAGGAGATCCGGCAGCCCGGCAGGCAGGTCGGCGCTGAGCTTCCCACCTCCGTGTCCCACCATCACGCGCACCTGCCTCGGCACCTCCCACGGTCCCCCTTCAGGGGCTTCGGTCCTTCTTCTCCATGGTTTGAAGAGGAAATCCAGGAGACCCCGTGCACACCCGCCGCGCGTGGTGAGAGGCCGACGTGAGAACTGGAAAACTGGCCGTGGTTTCAAGTCTTGTGTAAGTCTGTGATTCACTCCGCCTAGGTCCGTCAAGCACGCCTAAGAGAAATTACAGGTTTCTCTTGTCTGAAGCAGAGCCATTATAATGAGTCACTTGTTTGTCTTTTAATTTCTCGCCTTTATCTCAGATGATCAGACTCTTGTTTGCATCCACGGCACTGGTAGTAATTAGAATTCGGGCGATGCAAAGCAAAGGTCCTGCCACTGTTGTTGATAATGTTTAAAGGCTATCATGTTTTTGCCTGTACTGATGTTGAACTTGGGGGGGGAAAGCCTAGGCGATCTATCAGTAATAATCCCTGCCTTAGCATCGAATAAATTTTTGTTTTATTTTTTAGTGACCGGGCCATGTAATTCTTTTTTAAAAATATATTATTATTATTATTATTATTATTATTATTATTATATATTATTATTATTATATATTAAAATTAATTGAATTTTGGAGTCAAGAAGATATGTTAGTATCCTCTCTGTAATTATTTTTTACAGAGAGGATAGAGAGTTAGAAACGTCGATGAGAGAGAACCATCAACCAGCTCCTGCACACCCCTCACTGGGGACGTGCCCACAACCAAGGTACATGCCCTTGAGCGGAATCGAACCTGGGACCTATCAGTCTGCAGACCGTCGCTCTATCCACTGACCCAAATCGGTTTCAGTGCCAAGTAATTCTTACTAAGCCTCTACCTGGGGCCATGGCCATGGAGACTTTAGACCAGAAGGAAAAGTCAGGAAACGCCATATAACCTGACTTCAGGCACCCAGCCAATTTGTATTGTCCTTCATATCACTAAATAGCCCCACACATCCCTATTCTAGTGTCTTCTACTAACATATCTTCTTGACCCCAAAATTCAATGCAAATCGCCATTTCAATCTTGCCAGGGGAAGTGAAAGGCGTGTGATTCTATCTTTTATAGTGAGGAAGATCAGGGAGGTGACACTTGTGGAAATAGGTCAGTTTCATTGAGGTTGCCAGTTTAGTGCCAGGCCATGTGGTAACTGGAAAACTCAGTATCATCAAACCATTGGTTGTGTAATCAAAGGGCTTTATTGAACACATTGTATGGGTACGGCACTTTGTTCTGCATTTGGACATACAAAAGCCAGTAACATGGTAAATCACAAAGATGAGTAATCCTGTCGCCAAAGGTTTACAGTCTTATCTGGAAAATATTTGCACACAAAAAATACTGAAAATAAACAATGCAGCACAATAAATACTAGGCAGGAAGTGAATGGCACAGATCATAAATATTACAGGAAACCAGGAGAGGAGAATCAGCACTCTGATTGGACGAGTCAGGAGAGACTTCACAGAGAAGGCAAAGAGTGAAGCAGAACTCAGACGCAGGGTGCCCTGGGTAGCCCCATTATGTATACTCTTTCCTGGGCAAGGCACTAAATCTTATGACTGTGGTAACATTGGATGAAAGGGTCAATCAATGGCAAGCTCAGCAGACTTTACTGGCTGAATCAAATACTTTACTCTTTTATTTAGAAGTCATGGGACTAACTCCCATGGCAGTATCTTCAATCAAACTCATGGTCATAGCTGCGTGCTTGCTTGTATGTATGAGCATGAATTCACAGGTGCTCTAATGAAAACTGCTAACATTTTAATGGCCAACTATTAGTTGCCAAGTACTCTTCTACTCTTTATCTACAACTATTCATCTAATCTTTACAACAACCCTGTGAGGTATGCTCTAGTTCCCTCAATTTATGGGTAAGAAAATTAAAGTCTAGGAAATTTAAATAACTGCCAAAGCAGTTTCACCATACATCTGTCTTAGACACTGTTAGCACCAGTTTTTCCTTGAGCCACCTGACCAGTCACTCCCTTAAGCCACCTGACCAGGGACCACACAGTGAGGTGTGGACAGGACATTGGATGCATTTCCACCCAGGGTCAACCACAACCAAGCTGGTCTGTGTGAGTGTATTGACATCTTTCAGGATGGAGCAGACTGGGGGTGGGTTGCAGGGGAGAGTGCACAGCTTGTTCAAGGAATTCCCAAATAATTCTGGAGTTTCTCTCTTAGCATCCAGGGGCCTTTCTTGGTTAATAATAAGCCTTAGGTAGAATGTTTTTCCTGCCATCCTATTGCAGGGTGTGAGTACATTGGAGTAGAATGTGCTTTCATGCTAGATGTGACTGCTCAATGCATAATGCAGATTAATGTCCTCTCTCTCTCTCTCTCTCTCTCTCTCTCTCTCTCTTTCTCCCTCTCTCCCTCCCTCCCTCCCCCCCCCTCACCCTCTTATGCTTAGAGTTCTCATCTATAAAATGAGAAAATTGGACCCAGTCCTTTTTAAAGTTCCAGATTCATATTCTTATAGCTATTTGGCTTCATGAGATTTCCCTCCTCACTTCCATATTTCCACTCTGGGTAATGGACATTTCTTTGCACTGAAATCTGTGCATTGAGAACCCGCACTGTGCCTGATCCACATCCTTGCCTTGAAGAGACCCTACAGAAATACTGGGAATGTCCTTTCTGACTTCATTTGAGACAGGGGCAATTGTCGCCCCAACATGAGCAATGCCACTTGAAAGATGGCTCCTTCTCCAGGTTGGTGTATTTTTGATGGACCTCTTTATTAGTTTTACTTTATCAAACTTTCCTACTTAGAGGAAATATTTTGTAAGAGAGAGGAAGAGAGAGAGGCCCCACTCATTCACAAAGTGAGTCTTTATGAATGTAACATCATTAATGCAGGCTTCTGGTAGAATAATTAGGGACTTACCCATTGATCCCTTTTCTTTATCCACTCATTTTCTTCTGATGCATCAACCTGTATACTCATTTTATAAAGGAGCATTTTATTTTATTTTATTTTATTTTATTTTATTTTATTTTATTTTATTTTATTTTTAAAAGGGCTTCTATCTATAATACTGATCTCCTATCAGGTGAACCTGATTTGAATGATGAATTTGTTTACATACAAAGATAAGAAAATGAGCAGCTCTCTACTTGAAACATGATACTTCCCCTTTCTCATCTCAGGTTTAAAAAAAAAAAAATACCCAACTTGTTGTTGGTGAGGGTTAATCATATTGTCAGAGTAGACAGAGTCCTTCAGTAGTGCCTTGCTTTTAGAGAAAGTCCAGGACTGGAAGCCTGCAGACTTGGGTTTTGGCCTCTGGCTCAAGCCTCAATTACCTGTGACCCATTGTTCTAGGCTTCAGTCTCCTTAACTTAAAATGAGCATCTTTCTGGTTCAGAAGTTCTACCTATTTCACTTGGTTCATAGCCAAAAAAGTTGCATTGAAAGCCAAGCCCGGTTGACCATGCAACCCATTTAAATTTGGAGGAGTGGAATATGCTGGCAGTAAGATTCCTTTTGTACAAAGAACCAGCAATGACCTACTTAGTGTCAGCCCAACTGTTGTTGAGGGCCCCTCCCTCAGCAGCCCACAGAATCCAACCAGGCGACATCCCAGGACACCTTTGCCAAGATGAGCCAGAGTGCTCTTCCGGAGGCCCCGACAAGACTGAGGTCTTGCTGTGGCCCACATTGTCTTTCTATTCCCTGTAGATGCCCAGAATGGCATTATTGTGTTTACAGTTGATGAGGGAGAGGCGATTAGCAGCACAGAAGTAGACAGAGGGGCCTTCCATCCTTTCTGTATGTCACACCCTCCTCAATCAGCAGCACTACACGCTGTCTTCATACTCCCCGGAGGCCAGACGACAGGAATAAACACACTTCTCCTGGGGGTTCTGCCATTCCTGGAATGTATGACCTTGTCAAGAACAGAGAATCACAACTTTAATGTACAAGCAGCAAGACCCCAAAGCCCCACACCAACCGTACTGTGAGTTCATTCTTTCTGGAATGATAAGCCCCCTTTGGGTAGTCTCCTTGGTGGATGGAGACGCTCTTGCCTTTAAGTCCCTCTAGAATCCAGGGAACAGGCTTGTTTTACTGCCTCAAGTGCTGAGTTAAAAACCTTGTTTTTCTTTAAGCTGGACCACTTCCTTTCTTCCTGGGAAATATCTCTTTCTTTGTAAAAGGCCCTGGGCTGTTGAAGAAGGTCTCAGCACCAGAGGCTGTGGGAACCTGGATGTGTTGGGGTAGGAGTGGTGGGCTCTCTCTAGATACATCTGAGTGCCTCTCTCTTCCTGATTGTGAATGTGGGTGTCCTGGTTTGGGTATCTCCCTCTCCCTGTCTAGTCTTCTCTCTCTAGAACTACAGGGCCATGGATCCAGCAATTGGAAGACCCTTTGCACACATCTGTGTATCTAGACAGCTCTCTTCCAACAGTGAGCTGCCATGCCACTTGATAAGTGCTAGTATCTCTATTCTTCCCCTCCCCCCACTCCCCCATGGTTCCCTTTCTTACTGTGTTTCTCTCTGTGTCTCTGTATAGTGTCTCAGACACTATCCTCAAATGCAAATGTGCTTTTTACATTATCCCTGAGGCCTTACATAGATAGTGTGTATCATAATTCCTTGATTATTTAACACAAGGGGAAATATTTCCCACAGTGGGAAACATGGGAATATTATTGATGTCACAGAGAATGTCCTGGGTCTAGAGAACTAGAAAAGGGGGTTTGAGGAGAGCAGCTATGAGGAGCCAGCACCCCTGCTCACTCTCCTCTTAAATACACTCATGCTGATTTAAGAGCATTCTCTGATAGGCCCAGTGGTTTCACAGGAAGAACCAGAAGTGTGAATGTACCTCTTACATTAGCTAGATGAGAACAGATTGTGAATCCTTTCAATCAAGACAAAAATCATTTCTAATCAGAATTAATCAAATTAGGATTCCCCCCACCAAAGAAATGTCTTATGTGTAGCATGTATATAGGACCCCATTTGCTTTGTACTCACCTCCCAAGTTAGGAGTGTGGCCTACTTTGTTAACTTGGCCCTTTGGTGTGGCGACAAGAGAAATCAGAAGAAAGGTTCTGTTGAAGACAAAAGTATAATTTCAGTTATTATTGCTCTGTTTTCAATGATCACAATATCCAAAGCACATGGAGAACTGTAACCTACAGCAAGTTATTTTTATCATTTCACTTCCTTCCTCTCCTTGTTTGTGTTCAAACTGCTGAATACAAAACAGGAATAGGCTGGCAGGAGAGATCCCCCCTCCTTCTCAAGAAGTAGTCTCTAGCTTGGGAGGGAAATGAGAGAAGGTAGTTGAGTGAACTAAAGGGAGAGATCAACACGAATGTATTTCCTACCACCTAAATCTTTTCTTTTTAACTGACCTGCTGAAATCTAAGTTACAGTCATCCCCTTGTGATGGGCCTGAGACTAAAATACCCTGTGCTTTAGGCATATGTTGCTTAAGATAAGCAATACAATAATTGACTGATAGAATTATTACCACATGAGCGTAGACTAACTCATCACATCAAATATTAAATGAACCCAGACAAACACATTGATTAGCCTGGGCTGAGAACATGGGCTGACACTCCAGGCAGGTCTCACAAGTTCAGCCTGGACTGTAGAAGACTGCCACCTAGGGGTCAGAGGTCTGAAAAGCAGGGGAAGAGAAAACAGATGGCAAGCCTACTTACTCTGAGCAAGGCTTATGAAACTAACTTCCAATGACAGAAAACTAGTGGTCAGAGAGAGGGAAGTACTGCAAGAGGTTAGGATAAATTTACTTAGTACATATACCAGTGGTTCTTAACCCTGGCAGCACTTAGAATCACTGGAAATCTTAAAAACAAACAAACAAACAAAAAGGCTAGGTTCTACCTCTGAGACTTTCTGGCTAAATTCTCTGTGGGTTTGGTCAGAACAATGGTATTAAAAAAAAACAAAAAACTCTCTAGGTATTCCTTAGGTGCAACCAGCATTGAATACCACTGGCTCAGACAATAAAAAAAAAAAAAAAGCTGATAATAAAGTTCTGATATGATCCTGACATATCTTTTTTTTTTTTTTTAAATGACTATTTTGCTCAGCCAGAGTGGTTTAGAGGTTGAGTGTCGACCTATGAACCAGGAGGTCAGGGTGCCATTCATGGGTTGCAGGCTAAATCCTTGGTGTGGGGTGTGCAGAAGGCAGCTTATCAATTATTCTCTCCTCCCTTCCTATCTGAAATCAATATATATATATATATATATATATATATATATATATATATATATATATATACACAATAATAAAAAATAGCATATATAGTATATATAATAGTGTGTATATATATAATTGAATATATATATAGTATATATACAATAATGCAAAATAATACAAAATATTTATATTTACTGTTTTTCCAAAGCATTGAAGAACAGAATTTCCTTGAGGTGGCTGAATTGGATCAATACTGAAAATACATAAGGATAGGAGCCGTGCTAAATGGGAAGGGATTGGAAAAGTCATGCCTCTCTTCTGAGAGCACAGTGGCAGACCAGAGTGAGGTAGTAGGGAATACTTACAGCAGGTGTACTGGTGTGAAGAAAATATTTATGATGCTAAGACACTACAGGAAGGCTTAGATGAGTGCCTTTCAACCTTGACTACATTAAAATCACCCAAAACTCAAGCCACACTGCAGACCCAGTCAATGAGAATCTCCAGGACTGGGACCCAGGCAGCATTATTTGAAGCTTCCTGATTGATTCTGATGTTTGGTTAAGTTTGAGTACCATTGCTTTATTATTATTATTATTATTATTATTATTAATTTTAATCCTCATCAGATAATATGTTTAGAGAGAGGAAGGGAAGGAGAGAGAAAAACACATACATTGATTTGAGAGAGAAATATCAATCGGTTGCCTTCCATGCCCAGACTCGGTATCTTCCCTGACTGGGAACTGAACCTTTTGGTGCATTGGATGACACTCCAACTGAGCCACATAGTCTGGGCTCTTATTTATTTTACTAGATACCTGGTCCACAAATTTGTGCACTGGTGAGGTCGGGTCCCTTGGCCTGGCTGGCGATCGGGGCAGCTGGAGAAAGGGACCCTGGAAGGTTGGCCAGTCATGGGAAATTGGCTGTGGGAGTGCACTGATCACTAGGGGGCAGCTCCAGCATTAAGCATCTGTCCCCAGATAGTGAGTGCATGTCATAGCTACCAGCTGGTCATCAGGTTGTCTGATCATTTGATCATAACAGTCACTTAGTTTTTATATATACACTAGAGGCCTGTGCATAAAATTCATACATGGGGGTTGTGTCCCTCAGCCCAGCCTGAACCCTCTCCAATCTGGGACCATTAGAGGGATGTCCAACTGCCCATTTAGGATTGGGTCTAAATGACAATTGGACATCCCTCTCACAATCCAGGACTGCTGAGTCCCAACTGCTCACATGCCTGCCTTCCTCATTGCCCCTAACCACTTCTTCCTGTTAGCCTGATAACTCCTTAACCACTCCCGTGCTAGCCTGATTGCCCCTAACTGCCCTCCCCTGCAGGCCTGGTCACCCTTAACTGCCCTCCCCTGAAGACCTAGTCCCCCCCCCCCCCCAATTCCCCTCTCCTGCAGGCCTGTTCATCCCCAATTGCCCTCTTCTGCTGGCCATCTTGTGTCCACATGGGAGAAGCCATCTTTGAACACATGGGGGCAGCCATCTTGTGTGTTGGGGTGACAGTCAATTTATATATTATTATTTTATTAGATAGGAGGATAGAAGCCTGATGCATGGGAGGGGACTGGCTGGTTTGCCGTGAAGGGTGTCTTGGATCAGGGTGGGGGTTCCCTTGGGGCATGGGGCAATCTGGGCAAGGGGCCTGTGGTGGTTTGAAGGCCGGCCACATACCACCGGCGATCCAAGTGGAGGCCCTGGTATCTGGGATTTATTTATCTTCTATAATTGTAACTTTGTAGCTTGAGTGGAGTCCATGGCTGGCCAGAGCAGGTAGAAAGCTTAGCTTCCTCCTTTCCCCAGGAAGCCTAAGCCTCCTACTCACTCAATGGTTGAAGTCGTATTGGTTGGGTTAATTTGCATACTCACTCCTGATTGGATGGTGGGTGTGGCTTGTGGGTATAGCAGAACAATTTGCATATTACTCTTTTATTTGATAGAATACCATTATTGTTGTTGTTATTATTTTAGAGGACTGTTGCTTTATTACCACTGCTTTATTCTCAGAAAAACATGGTGGTGTTGGCATGAGGTTGGAGGGGCAGGTCCTTGTCATTTTATATTTTTTACTTTGTTGTTTATTTATTTTATTTTTTTTTAAAAAAAAAGGAATGTAGAAAGGAATCTCCCAGGTATAAAGGGCAAGGGCTGGAAATAAGGTCAAAGCTTTGGTAACAGTAAGGCAAAGGAGGATAGAAAAATAAAGGGAAGGAAAAGAAGAGGGCTAAAGAAAGCAAAGGAGAGGGAATGGAAAGGCAAGGATTATAGGAAGTGGGCAATAGCATGTCCGACCCCTCAAATGGCCTGTCAGCCCTCTGCCTGAAAATCCTCTTCAACACCAGCCCATGCTGGCCCACCTGAATCCCACCAGATGTTGGCATGGGAAACTCCATATCGTCTCTTCCCTTGTTTCTGGAAATGTTCCCTGGGCCAACCCTGAAGCTCCTCTTTTGGGGGGCCAACCCTGAAGCCATTTATTTATTTATTTGTTTGTTTGTTTGTTTATTTATTTATTTATTTTTCAGTTTTTCCCAGGTTGCACCTTGTATACCAATACCTCATGGCTATTAAATTATAGGAAGTGATGATAAATGAAAGGGCATATATACCATCCAAGGACTGAACAGGCCCCTAACCTTACTTTTCAAGTCCAGTAACCATGGCTGGTGGCCCCTCTTGATAGCCAAGCTATTAAATAGATATTTGTGGAGGATCAGAATTTATTTTTCTGAATTTTCACACTTTGGATTTGGCTCAACCAATTAGAGTCATCGGGACTCTAGTGAGCTGTCATGGGAACCTGAGACTTCAATCTTTTCTCATTCGTCTACTTCAGGTCTTGCTCTCTTGCTGTGTGGTGTGCAGCTCGCCCCTCCTGGCCCTGATGCTTGGTCACGCTTCTCTGAATGCATTGCAGTCGAGTTTTATTTCTTCGGATGTGTTCCCAGGACTCGAGAAAAATTTTAATAGCTTCACCTGGGACTTTTAAAAATTCCATACCATAGAGCATTAAAGGACAGTTTTAGCAACACCCTATATGCCAGAGACTCCAGCATTGTTATCTTGTCAAACCTTTAGGTGAGAAAATGAACATGAAGGCTTTACCTCTGATATCCTGGAGATCCGTTTTGCAGACGTTACTCGATCTTTTAAGGCTTCTCTTATCTGGATAGTTAATTAAAAATTAAGAATTAAAAGATGATAAGAAATCAACATGTTTTGGGGCCTGGCTAATAGTTTAGTGTGTTACCAGGTCCTATTGGAGGAAAATGGAGGGATTAGTAACTTGGTGAAGTGGTCTGGGAAAAGGTGGGGAGGTGGGAGATATAAGCAAAGTGGAGCTTATACAGGAGTTTTATAATCAGGGCCTTGAAAGTGAACCCAATGGCTAAGAAATACAGTTTGCCACCAGTTTGAGGATTATTAGCTTTGGAAGTATTTTGAGGGGAGTACTTGAAGAGTTGAACATTTTCTACATTTTTTCCCACTATTTAAACTTATGTTTTTTAGAGGCCCTATCCATGGTTTAAATGGGGGGGGGGGGGGGCGGGGGAACATAGCAAAGAACTATGGAATCAAGAAAATAAGAATAATAAGTAACAATTATATTTTGTTTTATAACGTTCAAGTGCTTTTCACACCTGTCATCTCATTTTATCCAAGAAATAATCCTGTACAATAGGTACAACAGGGAAATTAATACTCTGAGATCATGTAGCATGCAGTCAGTCAACTATTGAGACAGAGCCAGCCAGGAGTTGAGTCCCCTGACTTCAGATCATCCTTTCCTTTTCCCTAACTCTCCTACTGCACAAGGCACTCTCTTGTTATTTCTACTCCCTCTTTCCTTTTGCTTTATAAAGTGTTACTCACCTTCCAAGGCCCAATAGAAGTTTTGTCTTCACAGTGTATATATACCAAAGCCCTCTAGCTCATACTTACTTCACCCTGCCCTGAAATGTAGCGGTTTTGTCATACATGGGCTCCAAAGATGTAAGAGCATTGCCCAGGGTGGGAGTGGAGTCCATGTACTTAAATTAAAGTCCATTGTGATATGTAAAGACATACTGGAGCCTCTATTTTCTTTTCTCTTATTATTTTTCAACTCTATGTTTCATAATGTGTATAATACATACCCTGTAAGCATGTCTGGGGATATGTGCCCACTGGTTTTTACTGATCCTAAAAGTGTAAAGACTGCTGGTATACACAGTAAGTGCCCTCTTACCTGTGGTTTTGCTTTCCATAGTTTCAGTCATCCAGAGTCAACCAAGATCCGAAAATATTAAATGAAAAATTCCAGAAAGAAACAATTTATTCATTTTAAATTGTGTGCTGTTCTGAGTAGTGTAATGAAATCTCCAGCCATTCTGCTCCATCTGCCTGGGATATGACTCTTTGTCCAGTGTCTCTGTGCTGTATACACTATCTACCCGTTAGTCACTTAATCATGTCAGTCATCAGATTGACTGTCACAGTATCACAGTGCTTGTGTGCAAGTAAGCAGTATTTTACTTAATAATAGCCCCAAGAGGCATGTGCAGTGATGTTGGTGATTCAGATATGCCAAAGAGAGCCATAAAGTGTTTTCTTTAAGTGAAAAAGTCAGTACACTATAATAAGGTAGTCAAAATAAAATAATAATAAAAAGATTAAATGAGGTCATAAGGGTAGGGACCTAATCAAATAGGACAGTGTCCTTATAAAAAGAAGACACACCAGGCATGTGTGCCAGAGGAAAGACCATGTGGAGACACAGCAAGAAGACAGCTTTCTGCAAACCAAGAAGTGAGTCCTCAAGAGGAACCAAACCCGCCAACACCTTGATCTCAGACTTCCTGTCTCTAGAGCTGGAAGATTAACACAGGTGCCATGTGGTCTGTAATCAGCTTCCTGTATCCCTTTCATAGTTACAAGGAAAAATAAAATAATTTGTGTTCAATAAGTAGAATGTATTGAGATTAAAAGTATGCAATTTGGGGCCAAACAAACACATATTTAAGAAAAGAAAGAAAGAAAGAAAAAGTCATATTATGTAGCATTTATTATAATATATTATTATAATTATTCTATTTTATTACTAGTTATTATTATTAATCTCTTACTGTGCCTAATTTATAAATTAAACTTCATTGTAAATTAAAATATGGGTACATATAGGAGAAAAACAGACTATAAGTAGGAATAGATATTATCCATGGTTTCACAAACCCACTGGGGATCTTGGAAAGCATTCCCCATTAATATGGGGGACTACAGTATAACTTTTTGTCAATTAATATAACACCTTTTAGTATTTACCTTTCACATTATAATTTTAAAGAGATAAGATTTTGCTCTTGATGGATGCTTCCATGTCTTAGAGGTTTTTGCACACCTCATAATACCTAATACATGTTTACTAATAATAATGTTTCTGATGCTCTGGCTACAAATACTATTTATTGTTTTAGATTAATTAAAAAAAAACACATAATCTGCCCTAAGCAGTTTGGCTCGGTGAATAGAGCATTGGCCTGCAGACTGAAGGGTTCCAGGTTGGATTCCGGTCAAGGGCATGTACCTTGGTCACGAGCACATCCCCAGCAGGGGTGTGCAAGAGGCAGCTGATAGATGTTTCTCTCTCATTGATGTTTCTCTCTATCCCTCTCCTTTCCTCTCTATAAAAAACCAATAAAATATATTTAAAAAAACACATACATATATATATATAATCTGAGGTTCATGAGAGTTAAAAAACTTCTCAATTACAAGCAACTAGTACAAACAAATATCAATATTAATAGACAAATAGTCAAACTTTCACCTCTGAATATCAGATTATAGTATCTTCATGAGAAAAATGAAAGGACCGTTGTGAAATGCCTTTTTTTTTAAACCGTTCATATTAAATTGTTAGTAGAATAGCGTAGAAAATACAATTAATTAATTAAACAGTAAACAATAAAGCCTGTAGTAAAGATGTTTGCATCTACATCTGAGAGGGTTATTTGCTTTTCTTATTTCTAGAGATAGAATAGTACAATTGAAAAGGGTAATTTTAGAAGTCTAAGCAAATATTTGGTGTTTTGCTCATTTGTTTAGGTTTATTGTTTTCACCATCCACTACATATACAATGGATTGAAGGAGAATCCCCTTCCTTCAATCCATTGCTCTTCTAGGTAGAAGACATGAACTCACTTTCTCAGCCTCCCTTGCAGCTAAGATTCAGCCATGTGACCTGGGCTCAGCCAATCAGACCTGAAAACTCAAAAAACAAGTGCCAGTGGCCCTCAGCAGGCAGGATGGAGGTGATCTCTGAAACAGCAGTAGCATCAATTCTAGTTCAGCATCCAAGTCTGACATTGGCTTGGCGACCTGTGCTTCTGTGTCCAGCAAAGTAGAGAAAGGGTTGCATGTGGAGCAGTTCTGTGCTATAAATTGGGGACTATTCCTGGTGTGTAACCTCCATGTCTCCAATCCAAAGAGATACCTTCCCCAAGATGATATTATGTGATTTAGTAAATTCCTTTCTGCTTCAACTAGTTAGAGTGGGTTTCTGAAGCAAACTACTTAATCACTCTGAGTCTGTTTCCTCATCCATAAAACTGAAAATAGGAGTGCCCAAGATTGTTTTAAAGATTAGAGCTAGTGTACATAATATGCATAGCCCCATAAGAGCCTGAAAGATGGCTGATATTACTTGCATCATAAAGAGCAGTGATGTCCTGTTCAAGTGTCTGTACAAATAATTGAGATGAAAGACCCTGAAAAGGTTGGCTTTACAAATGAGCATTTCAGGGTCAAGTATTGTTAATGCAGAAAAAACAAAACAAGAAAAATTAATGGTACCTTTGGATCCAGGATTGTTCCAAACACCAGGATGAAGAAGCCCTGAGAAAAAGAGAAGAGTGGAGAAGAGCAATTTAGAAAGTAATATTGATAATAACAAGAAATACCAGCATTCATTATCATTTCCTATTCTGAAACTGATAAAACTAATAACAAAACAAAACAAAAATGCAGACCATATGATTCAATCTGTGACTCATTTTATGGTCATAATACCTAGATTCTTCCACTCAACAAATATCAATAGTGTGTCTTCCATGTGCCAGCCATGTTCTAGGCACTTGGGGTACCCCAAAAAACCAAACAGACCAAGGTCCCCAATTCGTATAAACATATTATAAGAATTTCTCTTTAATTTGGGCAAATTAAAAGTGATTTACATTTATCAGGAGCTGTGTATCCCATCAGAATATAAAGGCCCATGCAATAGCCAGGAGATGTTAGGCAATGGATGGCAGCCTTACAATCCCTGAATAATTAGTAAAGATATTTTCACAGAAAATAAAATAAAAAGTATCCATGCTCAGCTTTATTTAATACCCTCAACTTCCTTACCCCATCCACAACAAAAAACTGTTATAAAATTTGCAAAGAAAAATTAAGTACATGGATCATCAGAAAAACCAAGACTCCAAACAGATTGAGTTTCTAAGCACATAATAGGTGCTCATAAATAAGTGATTCAAATATAATATAGAGGAAATTAATTAGCTCTCATATCTCTCATCATCCATAAAAAAATATAATGATGGAGGTTGTTCCTCCATCATTATAGTCCATTTAAGTTTTAGTCTTTTTTTATATGTAGCCGAACAAAACCATCTGGGAAGAAGGAAAAGTATTCATTCTATTTTGCAGATAAGGAGAGGGAAGCTCAGACTCAACTTTCAAAATGTGATAGACAGCAATATTGATTAGACAAAGTTTCTCTTAAAAGTGTGAATACTCAGGTCTTTACTCATCCGAGAAGAGAAATAAGATAATGACCTATGATTTACGCATCCTTATTAAGTTGCTCTGATTGCATAATCAAATATGAACCCTTACCCAGGCAGAGGCCTGTTGAGGCACATGGGTGAAATACAAAATAATAAAGATGTTATAGCCAGCTTGTCATCAGCAGGAATGACACCAAACCCACTGCTGCCATGATTTGCAAAAGCTTAGCTGAGAGGTGGAGGACTTCACAGCGACCAGTGCCTGGATGGCCATGAAGCTAATTCATTCCTCCAAACATACTAACTATACTTCTCCATTCAGCCAGTCCAGCAAGTGCTCCGAGCTTAGGGTGCTTCTCTTAGATTGCTTTTTTGTCTGACCCTCTTAGCTGTCCATCTAGAAACCAGGAAGTACGTTCTCACAAGACACCGAATCTGCTCATGCCTTGATCTTGGACTTCTCAAACTTCCAGAAGTTTGAGAAATAAGTTTTTGTTGTTCATAAGCCACCCCGTATTATATGGGTCTGCAAATCTTACCGAGCCCACAATTACTCTCAGTAAAAACAAGAGAAGATACCAACTAGAAGTGGTACCGAGACAATGCAGCAACTGACTGTACAGGGTGGGGCCAAAGTGTGTTTACAGTGTTCATATGGAACATAATACAATAATTAATAAGTGATAATATAAGAACAAATTCTGTGTTTCAAGTACTCACAGCTGTAAACTGTGTTTGCCTCCACCATGTGTAATAATCCTTCCCTAGTAAAGTGGATGGTTGAGTTTAAAAACCAGTGGATGTGCTCCCACAAGCCTAGGACCAAGAACCTTTCAAAGAGCCTTTCTCCTACACCTCTGGGTCTCCTGGGATATTTATGGTCTTTTTTCTTTGCTTGCTCCATCAGCCACAGTTGCCCCTCATCTCGGTTCATCCTAAGACTCTGCTTGTCCCACTTCTTCCTGCTCAGTAGTTTCTGTCTCCCACCTCTTGGGACCTGTGGCTCTCTTCTCCTCCCAAGAATACCTTCATCCACATGGCTCCCACCATGGTTGATTTAAATCTAGCAACATGACATAGCTGACCATGGAGTCAGGAAGAGATGGGCACATCCATTCTCTCAGTGTTTCCACCATACAGATACAGCAGATTCAAATAACCTCAAGAGCATAGCAGAATGTAGAAAAAAACAATTAGAGAGGGATTCATTTGGAGGATGTTTGACCTTCAATTTGAAACTAATTTACTTAATTGTAATTCTACATAATTTAATGATGTCTGTTTACAACACCTTGAAAATTTGTTGAAAATACAGTAGTTAGCTCTCCTGGTCAGTACAAGCCAGCTCCAGAACACCACTGCCTCCTGCCTGTCCTGGAGTCTGGCCTTGACCCAAACCCTGCTCTGAGCTTCTCACTGGCCCATGGGTATTGGTATTTAGATGAGCCCCACCCTCCTCCTTGCCAGGTATCAAGGTAGAAACTGAGTTTAAATTACAAGTTGATCCTGTTATGACAGGGAAAAAAGCTTATGATACCAAAATACAAGTGCTCACAACCTAGTACAAAATGAAAAACACAGTCAAGATGGCCCAAGGGAGATAAGGTAAGGAAAATGTGAGGACTAAGACATGAACTCATTAAATAGATGACAAATAGCTCCTGCATATGCTGAACAGAAATTTAGGAACACTAGGTTTTTATCCCAGTTCTATCAGCGAAGAGCTGCATAAACATAGGCAAGGGAATTGATAATTATTAAGAACTATATAAGAAGTATAGGTTACAATTAATATACTTTATGGAAATGCACAAAAGCGACAACAGAGATTCAAATGATTAGGCACCCCTATTATTGTTAGCTTTGTTTTCTAAGACATTAAAATGTGTATTGTAAATAAAATCATGTGTATTTAAATTTTTAAAGAGAAAAGTGAAAAAAAAATTTGACATAAAATCTCTATAATTTCCAAATAAAAAAAAAAACATTCAGGAAAATAAATATTTTAGAAGTCGATAAAAATAAAAGCCTTCTTTTTAATTAGTTTTTATTTACATATTTAGCATTCAATATAATAAACTTTGACTCATTAGTGCACTGTGACAGAAAAAAAATGAAAAAGAAATTTCATTCAAGAAGGGAATTGTTGAATGTTAAATAATATTTAGCCATTAAGGAGACATAGCCTGGCAAAATGCTAGAATGTATTTTTAAGTGGTAGAGTAAGTTTCAAAATACTATGCATTGTTTTTTAACTCATATTATGTGAAAATATGCTTATATGTAAGTATAGAAAGTTTGGCAAAGATGTGCATGAAACTGTGGACATTTTTTTCATTCACAGAGATGAAGTAAGAGAGGAAAGGATAGGGGGAATTATCTTTAATACCATAAAGATGGTTTCCAATGATAACTAAACATTCTAAATGGAATAAAATGTGAATGTGCATATGTAAATACTTCCACTTACATAACTAGATTTTGGGGGAAGTGTTATTGTTTCATTTCTAAACTGGTTAAAACTCAGCTTACTGTTAGGCTACTTGGTGTTGTCCCATTCACTATTTTATTTTATTTTCCAAAAACTACTATAAAGTGAGCAGATTATACTCAATTAATAAGTGAGAAAAATAAGACTTGGAAAAGTTAAGCAAATATCCCAGGAGAATGTTACACATTAGTAAATGGGAGAGTCAAGATTTGAATCCAGGCCTTTCTGAAACAAAAGTTTATTTTATGACTCAATAGGCTATTCCAAATCCACTGTCTTTTATAAATAAACTAGAGCCCCAGTGCATGAAATTCATGCACAGGGCCATGGGGGAGGGTGAGGGGGGGCACAGAAAGGTAGGGTCCCCTCAGCCCAGCCTGCACTCTCTCCAATCCAGGACCCTTCAGAGGACATCCAATTGCTGGTATCAGGCCTAAAATAGCAGTTGAACATTCTTCTCGAAATCTGGGACTGCTGGCTCTTTTTTTTTTTTTTTTTTTTTTTTTTTTTAATATATTTTATTGTTTTTACACAGAGAGGAATTGAGAGGGACAGAGTGTTAGAAACGTCAATGAGAGAGAAACACCGACCATCTGCCTCTTGCACACCCTCCACTGGGGATGTGCCTGCAACCAAGGTACATGCCCTTGACTGGAATTGAACCTGGGACCTTTCAGTCTGCAGGCCAATGCTCTATCCACTGAGCCAAACCGGTCCCAGCTGAGACTGTGGCTCTTAACCACTCACCTGCCTACCAGCCTGATTGCCCCTAACCACTCTGCCTGCCCACCTGATCACCTCTAACTGCCTCTGCCTGCCTGCCAATCACCGCTAACCACCTCTTCCTTGGCCCCTGCCACAGTGGTTTTGTCTGGAAGGACATCCAGAATGATGTCTGGAAGCTCGTTCAGTTGTCCAGTCTAATTAGCATAATATGCTTTTATTAGTACAGATATGATGGCACACCCTCCTGATCACAAAAGTTCTTTCCAAATTCTCTCACTTTTGACTTGGTCAGAAGTGTTTGAACTTACCTGGAAAGCATTAAGCAAGGAGAAGAGAATGTGGAAGACGAGGGAGCTATCGTCGATGACTGTGGCTATTCCAAATCCCCAGGTCAGGCCCAGCAGTGGTGTGAGGATGGCGATATTCTTACTGATTCTCACGATGGCTCTCACCTCCTGGAACATGGAACTGCCAATGGTAGCTCGCCGGGTTTTGACAATCACCAGTGTCACGGTGATCAGGTTTACTACCACAATGGTCAGAGCTGGGACCACAAAGGCCAGGAGAGCCTTGGTCATGTCCCAGTTGAGCCAGCAGGCCTCAGGCCGAAGGTAGCCTTTGCCAGGCTCAGTGGTAGCAACTGTAATAACAGCAATGACCAAAGGGCAACCATATCCCACTGAAAAGAGAGATGCCACCAGGACTGACTTGGGCAGTGTATGGAAAACAATCAGAATTCCATAGAGGATAAGAAGTGCCTTCGCGAGCATCCAGAAAAACACAGCAAGGTAAAAGAAATGAACAAAAAATGTTGCTGCCACACATCCATTGTGGTGTGTCCTTGGACCACTAAGAAAGGAAGCCACGATGAACCAGGCATCAGCCATCAGCAAGGTAGCCGCGACGTTAACAATGCACAAGTGGCGTAAATACGAGATCTCTGTCTTCGTCACTCGGCTCCAGACCAAGGCCTCGATGGACAAGCAAAGGATCAAGCTGCAGATAGAAACGCCCAGGCCTATGTATGTGATGTAAGTCAGGATGGGGCTCCGCAAGGTGTGTGGTGACATAAGAATGGAGAAGGAGGTAAACAACTTGCTTGGCCTACATTTGCACACAGCTTGCTGGGAGGTTTCCTGAATCATCTGGCAGGCATGCTGGTCCCATCTGCTCTCTAACGAGTGCCAGCCAACACACTGTGTCCTCCTGTCCTCTGAATTCTGGATCTTTTCAAAAACCAGTGAGATTCTTTTAAGTTCCTTGGGCAAAATGACAGACAGGACAAGTCCGTTCACAGTGACGTTTTCCAAAAGGCTGGCTTCTAAGATGGCTCCAAGGGTTGGAAATGCAATGCTGACGACCTGGGAAGGAGAACGTACCTTCTGGGCTTCCTCCCTGCTGATCAGCACCCTCCCAGTGACTCTACTGCTGGTGTCATTAACTCTCATTGAGAAAGTTAAATTCTTTCCCTTGGTATCTCCAGTTATGGAGGTGCACATAGTATGAATAAAGACATCCGATATGTCGATGGGATATTTATTTATGAGTAGCTTTCTTGCAAAGCTATTGACTGAGTGCAGGAGCACACAGCTGCTGTTTTTCTCAGGGATGAAGGTCCAGTTTGAGATGCTTTTGCTGTCAAGAATGTGGTTGGCCATGATGCTGTAACTCTGTCAATGAAGAACCGGCATTAGTATTGAGATACTGTCTGAATCTGCCAGGACATTCAAGGTTTACTTTTTTTTATATATATATATAAAAAAGCTTTACTGTTGAAAGTATTATATATGTCCACCTTCTTCCCCAATTGACCCCTTTTAGCCCATCCTAGAGCTTCACCAAACTATTGTCTGTGTCCACTGGTTATGCATATATGCATACAGTACTTTGGTTGATCTCTTCCCATCTGCCCACACACCCTCCCCTGCATTTCCTCTGAGATTCCATAGTCTGTTCTATGCTTCTATGTCTTAGGATCTATTTTGTTCATCAGTTTATTTTGTTTATTGGATTCCACATATGAGGAAGATCATGCGATAATTGTCTTTCTCTGACTGGCTTATTTCACTTAGCATAATGCTCTCCAGGTCCCTCCATGCTGTCTCAAAGGGTAAGAGATCCTTCTTTTTACTGCTTCATAGTATTCCATGGTGCAAATGTACCACAGCTTTTTTTTATCCACTCATCTACCGATGGGCACTGGGCTGTTTCCGGATCTTAGCTATTGTAAATTGGACTGCTATGAATATAAGGGTGCATATATTCTTTCTGATTGTTGTTTCAGGTTTTTTAGGATATATTCCTAGAAATGGGATCCTTGGGTCAAATGGCAGTTCCGTGTTTAATTTTCACTTTTATAAACTGTGCTCCTTCAACCAGTTACAGCATGCCCTGGGAACCTCTTAAAGATACAGAATCTCAGGCCCTACTCCAAACCTTGTGAATCAGAATGAGCATCTTAATGAGAAACCCACGTGACTCACATACTGCTCAAGTTTGAGTTGGAGGATAGAGTTACAAGGGAGCGCCCTGTCCCTGCTTGTGTGATGCTTTCCTGTGAGACAGGCAAATGGGAAGCCTTCACCGTGTTCCTTTCCATCATCTGTTCCACTTCACACCGAGGTGACACTAGCAATTTGCCTACCCTGCCCAGAGCACCCACTATGTAATTAATATCTACTAAATCCCAACTGTGTGCAGGGCTTTGTACGGCAACTTGACGCATTGGAAGCTGACCCCAGAGGCTGGACCTCCTTTTTCTTATCCTCTACTTTGAAGGTCAAACAGAAAGGAAGCATGTCCAATTCCATTTCACATTTCTGCAGCAGACCTATCTGGTTGTTTTTTGGGGCACCCAGTTATTTTCCATTTTAACAACCTGATTCACAAATAAATGTTTTCCTCTCTGTAGGACCTAGAACAGTTCTTAGAGATTCACAGTAGTCAAAACATACACTGGAAAAGCTTGCTTCAATGTCCAATCCAGCACTTGGTAAGTGTTCTTTTTAAATGCTTGTTGATTGAATGTATTCACTTTTCTCATTAATTTTTTTTTCTGTAATAAGGATTTATTTTAAACATTTACCAGTAATGGAAATACTGAAGTGAAAGACCTGGTCTCCTCAAACACCCAAAAGCTCCAACTAAACCTGCATTCCTTTCCCACCCCTCCTCCACCCCTAAAAAAGAAAAGAAAAAGAAAAAAGAAAACACAAATGTTCTCCCGTGTGCTCAAGGCCACTCACCTGCATCTTTGCTTCATCCACATCTGTTGACAGCATGGTCGATATGTTGTGTAGTAGCTGCACGATGACAGCGATGTTTCCTGGTATCCGGGGAGAACGCTGGATGTTCTTAATAACACAGGACAAATCCTGCGGACACTTCTTCATCAACTTATCTGCAATGGTCTCAGACTTCCCGACATATTCCTTTGAGTATACAGTACTTCCAAATGATGGAACTGTACTTAAATCCTCCTAAGAAATGGCAAAAAGAAAGTTTGTTATCATGTTACTATTGTTTTCAATGTAAAAGTACCTTTACTACAATGTAGGACAGCCTTATTACACAATTGTATATTGCATAATGGTTTCCTATTTTACATTGTCAAGGTCACATCTGCTGTGGAACCACCTGCCCAACACCAAGGTGTTTGAACAGCTGCCTACTCCTGAACCCCCACCCCTATATCCAAACAGCAATTGTTATTCTTAGCACATGCCTCCACACCCCTTCTGTGTACACATATTGTGCACATGGGTACATTTCTACTGTTATTTAAACTTACTTATGATTCTTCCCAAGGGCAAAACATAAACATATTTTAAAAAAATAGAAATTCTTAACTGGATTTGAATGAATCAACTGTAACACCAAGAGAGAAGAATGACTAAAAGTAGTGATAGCATTTCCCCACAGATCAGGCTCTGGGTCCCACACTTTAAGCAGTAGCAAACTATGGCCACAGGTTTGCCATCTGTTTTTTTGTTTGTTTGTTTGTTTGTTTGTTTGTGTTGGGTTTTTTTTTGTAAATAAAGTTTTGTTGGGACTCAGCTTGTTCAGTCACCTACTTACTAACATTCACTGCTTTCTTACTACCATAGCAGAGTTGAGTAGTTGCAACAGAGACCAAAGTACCCACAATGCCAAAAATATTTACTATCTGGCTCTTTACAGAACAAAATTGTGCCGAAACCGGTTTGGCTCAGTAGTAGAGCGTCGGTCTGTGGACTGAAAGGTCCCAGGTTCAATTCCGGTCAAGGGCATGTACATTGGTTGTGGGCACATCCCCGGTAAGGAGTGTGCAAGAGGCAGCTGGTCGATGTTTCTCTCTCATCGATGTTTCTAGCTCTCTATCTCTCTCCCTTCCTCTCTGTAAAAAATCAATTAAATAAATAAATAAATAAATACAGAACAAAATTGCCAAATTGCCAAACCTTGTGTTAGTGGAACCCTTTCTCCAGCCTTCCTTTTCAAGAGGACAAGGAACCCATGGCCTAGAGGATGGGCCTTCACAGAACCCATGTCCCTGCTTCTAGACACCTGATTATTCTATGTGACAACAGCAAGCCCATTTCCAGGGCCTTCCATAAGTCTGTGCTGCCACAGAGGGACCAGGCCATCTGTAGGCCTGAGATGTGTCAAAGGAACACCTGTGTTCAGGCTTATGGATGTGTGGCCTTGGCCTTCTACCATCCATGAGGTGCAGGATGGATTCTAGAATGGGAGGCTGACAGAATCTGCTTTATTTAGCAGTTTGTAGACTTGATTGAAAGCATTTAAATATCAGGACATATGGAATGTGGGTCTCCATGTGTACTTTGCCCTGTTCCTTCAAATCAGGGATGGGCAACCTCTTGAAGTCAGGTATAGATCCACTGCCTCCCCCGGCCATACCCCAAAACAGGGGATGAGGATGTTGCCAGGGCATGAAAGAGGCCAAACATTGACTCCCCTGAACGAAGCAGGAGCTGACCTTCAGAAAGGTAATAATAGAGGAGAAAAGGAAACAAAGGAAGAAGAAAGGCCATTTGAACTAATTTTATTTACTAGAATTGGACTTTTTAAAATATGTAACAATTTAAGTATTTGTGGGAATGTGTTCCTTTGTTTGACAATGAAGTCCTTCCCTCCAGATTCAGCTCTCTTCTCATGCTTTACTGAGCACCAAAGTCACATGGAGAGCTTGGTAAAATGCAGACATGGATTCAGCAGGTCCGACTGGAGCACGATTGCCCAGTGTCTGAAAGTTCTCAGAGATGCCCTGTATTGTTGGCCAGTGAAGGACACATTGAGTAGCTGGGCTTTGGGGTATTCAAGAGCTGAGTGGATGTGGAGGAGTAAACTGAGGAGTCTAGACAGCTCTGCTAGCTCTGGCCTAAGCGATCTGGTTCCTTTGTGTCATGGAAAGTGTGGGAGACTGGAGCACAGACTTTTAGATGCCCAAAGTTAGGAACGCCATTCCAGTATATATGTACAGAGAACAGGTAGTTGTTTATTTTTCAGCTGCAAGCTCCTCTACTTACCACTTGTCCCTCTCTCTTATTGAGTGCAACATGCATTGCTAATTTGAGGCTCCACTTTGCATGTGAGAGAAAAGATATTATTACCTCAAAGATGTTGAAGGCGGTAAGAGTTTGGCAGGTATCAGTGATCTTGTGCCATTTATTTCGCCTACATAAAAACCCCATATTTCCCGAAGTATCTGGAGGGCAAGGTTGACTGCAATGGGAATTGTCCACACAGACCCCATCACATGCACCTGGGAAGATAAAAGGCATTAGCATCAGATGGAGAGGTATGGACTCAGGGCTCCAGGTGTTGCCACATGAAGGCACATAAATCCTGTGGACATCAGGTGACTTTGTAAAGTGGAGGAAGATTGAAGTAGATCAGTGACCATCATATACAGGGTGTCCCCAAAAAATGTATACACACTGTAATAAGTGATACCTCCATTTTGAAAATGAAATGTATTTTAATTAACACTGCCTTTATAATTATTCAAAGTATGTGCATACTTTCTTTGGGACACATTATATTTCAGTGACAAACTACTATTATTTCCAACAAAATATTTTCCTGAACTCAAATGGAGAAAATAGCCGGGCTGGTGTGGCTCAGTTGGTTGAGCGTTGTCTCATGCACCAGGAGTTTGCTGGTTCCATTCTCTGTGAGAGTGCATTCCCAGGTTGCAGGCTCAGTCCCCAGTAGGGGGTGTGCAGAAGGCAAGCTGATCAATTTTTCTTTCTCATCGATGTTTCTATCTCTCTCTCCCTCTCCCTTCCTCTCTCTGAAATCAATAAAAACTTATTTTTTTAAAAAAATAGTTAAAAGTGACACTGGCCCAGTTGAAATGAGTGGGAAGAGCCCACGGGTCAATCCCTAGGACCCTCTCACATCTCACAGGAACACCCTGAGCACCTCCTCAGTCCCCTCCAGGAGGAGACAGTTTGGAAGCCATTGTAACTGATGTTCTCTAAGAAACCCCCCAACTCTGGAACTTTGTAATCAGTTACATCATCACTAGGTTCTCACAGACCTCTGCTAGCCACTGCCCCAGCCTGTGCTGGCTCAATCTAAAGAATTTATAGTAAATAATTCCAAGACCAGGATGGAGCAGAGGGTTTACAGATGGACAGTAAAACTTTCATTTCATTAGTAATTGCTACCAACATACCGTGTGGCTTGGCGGGCACTTTCTCCTTGCTTTTGCTGGCAGCCTAGAGAGAGAAAATAAAAATCAATTGGTGAGAAGCCAATCCAATGATTCACTTTAGTCACAAGCCAACAGTCACATCCTCACCAGCTGTGACACCAGGACGCCACCAGAAGCTGAGGCCAGGACATGTGGCCTCTGACTCTCTCTGCCCTTTAGCCTGGATAGCTATCTCTCCCATGGCTGTTCAGTAGGATCCCCTGTTCTGCTCTGGTAAGGATGGTCTACATTCTATCCAGGAGCATCATGAGCAGAGGCAGATTTACTGGGAAGTTCACGAAGGTTAAGCTTCAGAATTCATTGCCTGTATGGTCCTTTGAAGCACTGAGAGAGGATCTAGCCATGGGCTCACATGCTCCTATGTTTTATTACATCGCCAAAAGTCACACTGTTTAACCAGCATCTGCTCAGACCATTATTTTTTGCCACTCCAAATTCCCCATTCATATTCCCCCATTTTGGACAGCACTAGAGAGCTTGTACCTATTTATGGAATCTGGACAAGTATAAGTGAGTTTGGGGATACATTTAGCCTGGATTTAATAGTACTTCTATAATTTGCAGCATTTCTGCATGACAATGAGAACATCAACACATAAGTGGTATTAATTCTAGCTAGAAGTACTTACAATTAGTCACAGAACAAGCAAATTCTAAAAGCCCTGAAACCCTGTAGGTCATATAAAAAAAAAAATACTTGTTGAGGTTTTCCCAAAATTCACAACAGTTCTACATATTTTCATGCCATTACTAATAATGAATCCAGAAGCTAAAAGCTATTTTTCTAAACTAGAACAATAAAGTTAATCAGCAATGCTAGAGGAAAGACTGGGTAATCTAGTCTCTCCATAGAAAAAAATTATAAAATTATTGATATGCAAGTCTGCAGCCAAAAATTTGGAACAAATATGTGGATGGTACATTAATAAAAATATTGTTATTTTATTGAATTTATTACTGAACAATGCTGAGTAATTATTCTAAATTTGAAGTTTGTTATGATTCTTTTTCTCATTCTTTCTAAATATTCACTTTTCCCTAAATTTTGTACTTGTCATTTTATATTCTCTTTTTAAGAGTGGTTCTCCCAAAACCTGGCTTCCTCCTACCATGAGCATTCTCACCTTTTTTTATTAGAAGACCTTCCTTTCTCATTTGTCTGTATGACACTGTACCCTTCACTGAGTAGCAGTGTCACTTTGTGGTCAATGGGTGACTCTGAGAACAGAACATTAGATTCAAATCCCAACACTGCCACTTGAGGTCCTGAGAAAGTTCATCTCTCTGAGCCTCACTTTCCTCTTCCATAAAGCAGGGTAGGAATTGTAGTACTACAATTTCATAATCTTGCCTCAGATGATTTTTATGAAGAATAAATGAGATCATGTATTTAAAAGCACTGAGAACTGGGCCTTCAATGTTGTAAGTGGTATTTAAGATTTAGCTATCATTATTCTCTGAAAATGGACTTAGGGAATGGCTATTACACATGAAGCTCAAGTTTGCCTCCTCCAAAAAGTCTTTCCCAATCTAGTTCTAGATGTTACATCTCTTCCTCTCTTACTCCTATAAAAATTTATTATCCATGCTACCACACCACTCATTCAATACTTGCACTACTCACCTGGCCTGTTGTAATACTATCTAATAATTTTTATATATGCTTATTATTTTCTAAATTAGGTTATAAGATCCTTAGCATGGGTTGTGAATTGTGCTTCATATCTCTCAAAGTAGCTAGATTAGTACATATAAATATACATACATATTAGTATGTCTGAATATACTGACATATATGAACATGCATGTCAGTGTATTTGGAGAATGAGTCTAAATCTTCCTGTTTCTTGACCAGAAGTTTTCCTTCTAGGACCTGGAAAGAGCCCTGGTACAATTACTCCAACCTGCATTCCTAGATCTCAACCATTGGGAAGGAACTGGAAATACAATGACTTAGCTGTGTGACTAACACTTGGAGTTCATATCCCTTTCTTATTCACAACATTATTTCTCTCTACAATATCAGGAAACAAAGCTGAGTCTTATGTTTTCTCTACCAAATGAGAATTTACGGAAAATCTGAATTGAGCATTTCAGGTCTGTGCAAAGTGAGGAAAGTATCTCTGATTTTTGGAATACAAATCCTTCAAAATACTGATGTAAGATGACTTCTCATTTCATAATCAAGAGAAAGATTTAGTATATATATATGGAGCAGCTAAAGGCCTTTCACTAAACAAGAACATTACAATAATATTTTGGGAGTTTTGAAAGATCTTATTGATCAACCAGTCCAACCCCCTTATTGTACGGATAAGGAAAGTGATTCTTTGATAGATGAGTTGACTTGCATAAGGCTGTCTAGGTCAGAGTTTTTCAACCTTTTTTGGGCAAAGGCACACTTGTTTCATGAAAAAAATCACGAGGCACACCACCATTAGAAAATGTTAAAAAATTTAACTCTGTGCCTATATTGACTATATATAAAGTAATTCTCTTGAATAGGAATCAAATAAACACAAAGAAAGTATTTTATAATTACTTTATTATGAAATATTAAGTAAACAAAATAGTGAAAAATTATAAAATTCTTGTCTTGTCTGCACCTACGGCACACCAGGCAACATCTCGCGGCACACAGCGGTTGAAAAACGCTGGTCTAGGGCATTCCTCTTAGAACTGGTACTAGAACTCTGTTCTCCTACTCCTACAATACTGCTCTTCCCATCAAGCCAACCCATGTCCAAGTGGAGAAGGCAGAGGAGAGTGTATGGAAGTATAAGCATCTCAAGATGTCATAAGTCCATCTTGAGAGGGTCAAGATCTCTAATATGCCTCAATAAAGCACATAAAAGTAGACAACTCTTTTTAAAAATATATATATTTTATTGATTTTTTACATAGAAGAAAGAAGAGGGATAGAGAGCTAGAAACATCAATGAGAGAGAAACATCAACCAGTTGCCTCCTGCACACCCCCTACCGGGGATATGCCTGCAACCAATGAACATGCCCTTGACCGGAATCAAACCTGGGACCCTTTAGTATGCAGACAGATGCTCTATCCACTGAGTCAAACTGGTTTTGGCAAGAATAGACCACTCTTGATAATACTTGACCCATTAAACAGACTACAGTGAAGTCAGATTATACAATAGTAATCAGATGTGTGGGCACAAGGCTGTTCTATGCTATTTACAAGGAATCCTGGAAACTCTGCTTTCTTAAGAGAAGGACCTGATTCACTTCTTCCTAGTTAATTTGTCAAAGCACAGCCATGCACAGCTCCTGGTCATTTGATTTCTTGGGTGGCATTGAATAGGAGCTATGTTAGCTTCAGTTACAAACAATTGTCAACATGATATTGGGGAAAAAACAAACCACACTTCAAAACCTGCCACCTGCTAAACCTGTGGAGCTGCCTGAGTTAGTAGTCAGGTCAGGAGAGGAGTAGCATCCAGCAACTTGTTTAGTCAGAATGAAAGGATGGGATACTCCTGATAAGGTGATCACCAATAATAAAGAAAACAAAGCTAACCTCTGAAACTCTGACTATTCTTCAAGTTCTGTCTTGTAGGAAAATGTAGAAGAGAAAATGAAGGGAGGAAATAGTACCTCACTGTGGGGATTGGGATGCCTCCTGGAAAAGGTCTTTCTGAAGGAGTCTCTAATCTCTCGCAGAAAGTAGGCACCAGCTCGGTGTTGGGAGAAGAGGAGTCATGGAGAAAATTCCCACACAAGGACAGAGTACACAGAGAGTAAAGTAAATATATCATTTGGAAACTCAGAAATAATTTTTAGTTATTTTTTCCTAGGTATAAGGAGGCTCTTCTCAAGAAAACATATATGAAAGTCAACCCATTCTTGCCCACCCCCGCCCTCCAGATGGGGAGTTTGTAGCTGCATATAATACATTTTCACACTTTTTTTTTTTTTAAGCAAGTACATATTAAAATGGAAAGATTAAGAAACTAAGAATCTGAAGACAAGGGTCCTGGGTGTGGCTCTTTAGCTTAGTAGGTATATAACCTCAAACAAGTCACAATCCACACCATTGATAAAATAAAGAAGTGTAGCTTCGCCAGTTGATCTCAAAGCTCTCTTTCAGATCTCGTGACCCAATGATAATATTATCTTCTCAAGAAGCTCAAACTATTTTTATGTTTTTCCCCTCTCTCTCTTTCTCAATGATTCCCCATACCTTATTTTAAGCAAATAACTAATAGGAAAATTAAAATGACTTGTATATGAAAAAAAAAAAATATTCCAGAGAGAGCCATCAGGCTCACTGCTCCACAAAATGTGAAAATAGTACATTGCTACAAACTCCATCCCAGTTAGATTTTGATTAGCCATTGACTACCTGAGTTTCCCTTTATCCCTTCCAGCCCATCCATGGTGATCACTATCAGGTTTCTCAAAGAAGATGCCATTTGTGGTGGGACAATGCTTTATTGTGCCAGACCATTCCTAGGTTCTACTCACACTAAATGCCATTAACTATCTCTCTCAGTCAGTGTGACCCTCACCACACCTACATTTTCAAGTGTCCCTAAGGAAGTGGCTCTAGTTACTAGCAACTGAAAACCTCATCATCAAAAATTATAGAAAGAAGAGATTATCACCCTTAAATCATTTGAGCCTGTTGTATCTCAGGAACTTATAGGAAAAGTTGATGGAAAAATAATTTGCAGCTCTTGGCTAAAATGGGTCTTGTACATGTTTAGATGCAACTGCAATTTCATCTGGCTGAACCATTCTATCACCATCTTCTCCCTACACTTCATCTCAGATAACCTAGAGCCGTGTTTTAGGTTTCCATTTGCTTCTCCCCACTATTTCATCCCCCCACCTCCGTCCTCTTACCTGGCATAATGTCCTGCAGGACTCTGTGGGCAAAAGAAACACTAAGCAGAACAGCAAAAACGTATGAGTCATTGTCTTCAACGCAGCTGCCTTTCTTGCTTCTGTAAAAATAAAGGCAAAGGCAAAAGGTTTCCAATCTGAAGCTTTCAAAACTCCATGCCATTGCAGATCCAGTCAGCCTATCAGATGGGGTTCTGTCCTTAGCGTTGTCTACTCAGAAGCCCCTGCCCCAGAGGTGGCTTCCCTGTGGTTTCCCATCCATTGACTTCCCCAGGAGGCTGCATGTGTGAGCGCCAGCTGGCACTGGGAGGTGTAAGCAATGGCTGAGATAACTTCCAGCCTCTGCTGCCGGCTTGCATGTGATGCATCATGTGGGAATGTCTCCAAAGGAAGCTACCTGCCCAGATGTGATGAATAGCAGCCCATGTCCAGGGAACGGGAAAGATGGCTCACTCTCTGGGTTAGGCAGGGCTGAGAAACATGTGGGTGGCTACGATGGAACGTGAGTTGGAATTCCTATGTGCAGACTCATCCTAGAAATACATTTTGAAGGAGATTAAGCACCAGCCTTGGCTTATTAGCCTCATTCCCACCTCACCCTGGAGCTGTGTTTCATACTTAGGTCACAACTTTTTTCTGCCAAAACTGATGTTGAAATGATTCCTTGGCACCTGGAAGAGTGGGATACACATGGTGGGCACACACTATATTCAATAAAGGAAGAGGGAAGGAGAGCAAGAGGAAGGTGGTTGGGAAGAGCTGACAATTTGCATCAGGTCTATTCTCTATAGAGGACTAACGTAAGCTAAAAACTTCAATTCTAAACTTTAATTATTTTAATTTTTTTCATCCTGAGTGAGATCTTCTTTGAAAGGCATTTGATGCTTCTTTGCTTTTATTATTATTTTTTTAACCTTCACCAGAGTGAGGATATTTTTCCCCATTGATTTTTAGAGAGAGTGAAAGGGAGAGTTGGGGAGAGAGACAGAGGAGAGAAAAATTTCAATGCCAGAGAAACACATTGATTGTTTGCCTCACACACACCTGGCTGAGAGTGAGGGTGTGTCGGGGGAGAGGACAAACCTGCAACCCAGGTATGTGCCCTTGACTGGAATCAAACTCAAGATCCTTTAGTGTATAGGTGAGGCTCAAACCACTGAACAACGCTGGCCAGGGCTCTGTTTCTTTGCTTTTAGATGGAAGAAGTCAGAAGACTTGGATGTCAATAAAGGCCAAAAGAGAATAATCTTTATCCCAACTGTGCATAATACCATATTTTCCGGCGTATAAGACGACCCCCTAATTTTACAGTTAAAACATAGGTTTAGGCCTATATTCGCTGTATAAGGCTACCCCCCACTTCAAAGAAAAGACTTACTTTGCGGTCAAGATCTGCAGGTAATTTTTGTGCAATTTTGGTCTTTTGCCCCCAATTTTCGGTTGACCTTTTTTCGTTTCAAACGTCATCTTATACGCCTGAAACTATAGCAAACAATGCCATTATTTTAAAGATTTAGGCAAAATGTATTTTTAAATCATGTTTCTTACATTGAAATACTTGTCTAGCTGAAATTCCATTGAAATCTAATGATTATTTGAAATATTTTGTATTATCTGATTCAGATCATTGTCAGTTTAGGTTTCTGAAGGTCTATAGCTCTTTAAGCAAAAGGATTACTTTGTTGATCATCACTTCTAAAGAATTTAGTAGCAACCCAAATGGCCATACAATTTTAAGTAAATCACAGCCATATTTACATCCTGTATTCTAATCTGTCTATTCAATGGATGGACTTCCCAGGTTACAACTCAGTCATCAAATGTGACTTAGCAGGATCATCACCAAATCAGTTACTGATTTGGGTAAAATAATCAAAGATGAAAACAAACAAACAAACAAACAAAACCTGATGGTGAATTTGTTGACACAATTCACATAAAATCTGAGCATGAGTCCATGTTTTTCTGAATTGCATGAACTTTATATTAAAATTCTCATCATACAGAATGTCCTTTCTCTTAGCTAAAACAAATTTTTAAAAATGATTTAAGAAATGATTCAAGACAACAAACTCAGAGTTAGCACTACTCAGCCCAAACTCAATAGATTTTTTTTTTAAGGAGGAGGCATTGAATTATTTTTGAAGTTGACAAATCAATATGAAAACAATTCTGTTTGCTTAAAATATTGTATTGGGAAAAATTATTTGCTTATTTTCTTGTCATTTGTTTTAAATTGTTACTATAGTTGAAGATTTAATTTTTAGTAAAATGCTTTTTGATTATTACTAAAATTATGTGTCTGCGTATGACAAAATAAGCACTTTGTGTTTTATGTGGTAATGATCTTCACCAGGCTGTGTAGAATGGCTTGTTTTGATAGTTATGCTGCTACCTAGGGCCCAGAATTTTCTAACATCTTTCTTTACAATCCAGGTCTACCTTCTCATAGAAGAACTGGGACTACAATTTAGAATGTTGTATTTCTCCAAGGTTCAGCACTAGTGTGACTCTAATAAGTAGAGCAATTTTAACATTTTTTCAATTCTTTTAACTAGAAAGAACCTTTTCTAAAGTTGACTTTTTTGTATCTTACTTATAAAACCGATTGCTCTTTAAAGAAAATGGCATAGTTTAATCTGAACTTAAATAGAACCATTTTTCTTACAGATTTGTTCACCTTAAGCCTTTCTCACATTCACTTTTTTCCCCCAACTCCTTGAAAACAGAGTGTTTAAATGAAACAAAAGGCTATGGTGGCAAAATAGATGCATAAGTCAAATATTGTGACCACTTCCTACCCTACCAGCCCCCAGAGCCTTCATCCCCGATTTGATGTGAAAAGCCATAGGTCTCTAGTGGTTCAGACCATCTTCCTTAGTCAGCCCATATCTTTCTGAAATGCAGGGGTAGCTGGAGTGTAACTTCCCTCTCAAACAAATGTTTGAATATGTTGGTTTCATGTAGCCCCAGCCAAAACATTCATTATAGACATCCACTCCAGAAAAGGCTAATTTCTAAAAAACATACAACTTGAAAAAACTCGATTCACACACACATAAGAAGAAGAAGAAGAAGAAGAAGAAGAAGAAGAAGAAGAAGAAGAAGAAGATTATATCAGCACTGAAATTTTGACAAGTAAAATGTGCCAAATACAAAATGTTGGGATTTTTAAAAAATTGGATTACACTCCCTCCTCCCTTATAAAAGTAGAAAGGAACAGCAAAGAGTACAATGGTCAGATTGCAAACAGCTATTTCCAACCATCCAACCTAGAATGCATTCTCCCATTCTCTGTTGTCTGCTTTCCAAATCTGAAAAAGGTGCTCGAGGTGTTCCTTTATATGTTTCTTCAACAAAGAGAAAGTGACCCCCTCATTTTCAAGCAGTGTCCTAACAGCTAGATATTAAATAAGGATGACTTCTCTTACTCCTTACCACCTTGAGAAGTCATAGTGTGGTGGGGCTTCTGAAGCACCCCCAGAGGATTGGGAACTTGGATAGGACTTGTTCCCTAGTGACCTGCAGACCCTAGGAGTCAAACTAGTGGAATAGAAATGATAAATAGTATTCCCAAGTTTCAGATTGAAAGCAAACAAACAATTCTCATCTTTGGATGCAATTTAATTTTTAAGTATTTCTTCCACCCTGTGTTGAAGTCCTCCGTCCCAAAACCATGTAATTGACTGGCCACTGGCACAGCTCATTAGCGAAAGACAGAATGGAGAGAAAGACAATACGTTGTTAGTGGACAGGAGAGGGCCTCCTCTCCCCCGGTTGCTGCTGGGACTAGAATTCTTCCTATATCCCAATAAAAGGAATTTTTCTAAGACTTGCACTGGAGAATGAGTGATTGTTTATTTGCATGGAATTAAACCCCTGAGTTTCCAAAGTCCCATTTCCTTTTGCCCAATCATGGAAGTGTCTCTGTGGTTTCAGTAAAGCTAAAATCAGAGCCAGTGTCCAGAGTTCTTTTCCATGTTGGAGAAGGGGTCCATTCCAGCATCAGGCTATTTTAACGTGTTGCCAACTGTACTGTCCATTAGTCCCTTCATGTGGGGTCCACAGGACCACTTGCCATGGAGGGAGCACAGGCAAATGCAAAGAAGCAGATGCAAAAGAGACCCATGAGCCAGGAGTATAAAGCAACCAGAGCAACAGGAAAGAGAATTCCTTTGTCTAGGACAGTGGTCGGCAAACTCATTAGTCAACAGAGCCAAATATCAACAGTACAACGACTGAGATTTCTCTTGAGAGCCAGAATTTTTAAACTTAAACTTCTAACGCCCCTTCAAAATAGACTTGCCCAGTCCGTGGTATTTTGTGGAAGAGCTACACTCAAGGAGCAGAAGAGCCACATGTGGCTCACAAGCTGTGGTTTGCCGACCACTGGTCTAGGAGATTATACATTCCCAAGTTTTCCGTGGGCTTGGAGTTGGCCATGCCTTTTCTGGCCAACCATCTCTGTCTCCAAGTTTGATTGACAGGCAAGTACCTTCCCCATGTCACCCCAACTTCACTGGGCATGTGTTTATCTTTCCTTTGCCCAGCCCCTTCCCCCAGCATTTTGCAGGAAGTAAGCTGGTGGTTCCCTGGGGAGTGCAAAGTTGCAGCTTCTTGGTGAAGCTGCCCAATGACATGCTTATAATGTTTGGCTTCCCCCTGTCCTCCTTTCCTATGAGTAATGACTAGTTAATCACAACTGTACACATTAAACCACACAAGCGACAGCAACCAGAGCAATTGTATAGAGTGATTTTGGAAAAAGCAAAAGCAAAACAAAAACTCTACAACTTGATCTCTTCAATCTTGATTAGAAAGAAATTATTGAAATAGCAATCATAGCCGAAACCGGTTTGGCTCAGTGTAGAGCGTCGGTCTGCGGACTGGAAGGTCCCAGATTCGATTCCGGTCAGGGGCATGTACCTTGGTTGCGGGCACATCCCTGGTAGGGGGTGTGCAGGAGGCAGTTGGTCCATGTTTCTCTCTCATCGACGTTTCTAGCTTTCTATCTCTCTCCCTTCCTCTCTGTAAAAAATCAATAAAATATATATTTTTTTTTTAAAGAGAAAGAAATAGCAATCACAGCATTCACAAACAAAGGTCAACAAAACTCCAGACAGAACTTTATCAGCCACCCAGGAGTATTTCAATCGCCAGTTTTGTCAGCAGACAGTCTGAGGCTACCACTTGCATAATTAGGTTTTGTAATGAATTCCTGAGGCATCCAGTGAGTTCAACAAAATGCTATCAAGGTTCCCAGACAGACTGTGGGAATACACATCAGATGATCTCAGGGGTGAAAGATTCCATAACGTCTATCATTTAACCATCCCACTGTTTCACTTCTAGTCAATGACCAGTCTCGTTTCTCCTGCCTGAATGCAGACATTATGGAAGGGAAGAGAATAAAACAAAGCTCTTGTTTGTTTACTGAGTGTCTGGCACTATGTGTACATTAGCTCTTCTAATGCCACTAAGTAATTCTGTACAACTGAAGTTACTTCTATAATTTTCTAAAATAAAGTTTACCCTGCCCAACCTCACAGGCACTGAGTGGCATATTTGTGATTTGAACCCAGGTTTGTGATGTTTTTCATTATGTCATATGGCTTTTCTAAAATAAGAAAAAGCTGATTTTTTAAATAGGGCTCATATTTTCAAAAAATTTTCACATATAACTTTTACCTTGACATCACAAAGTTTTATGAGATAGACAAGGAAGTTATCATTTTCCAATTTTTATCACAGAGGAAGTTATCCAACTAGTAAGTGACTTCCCCAAGGTCACACCCCAAGTTATTGGAAAACCTGACTTTCCTT